AAAAAATCGATGACAAATATGTTGAGAAACTTTATTGCAGGTGGTCAACAGCAATCCTTACCGGTAAGGCACTATAAAACTTACCCTTATTTTACATGCACGTGTATTCGAAATACATAATACATGCAAAAGCATAGGTGAATGCACTTTTCACAAAGAAAATCACTTGCTGCATAAATTCTGAGCTGTGGGTTTAGAACCCGAAGTCAGTTAGAAATTATCATAATAAAATTTCGTTAAAATGTCTTAAATTAATTGCAATATTATTTTTCAATATATTCATTATAAAAAAGTTTGTTATATATTATATAAATTATACAAATTTCAATAAATCCTATATTGACTCTAAAAATATTATTGTGATTTCTTTTTGTAGAATAGCCTTTAGAACCTTTTATGTGTTACTAGATTGAAACCTGGGGGTTGACAATTCTCTATCTGATAATATTTTGAATAGATTTACTGCTTGTTATCAAGCTGGTCGAGGTGCCCTTGATACCAAGCCTCATGATTACGTCATATTTGAGACAAAATTTATTGTTTTGCGAAATATTGTTATTGTTGCATAAGATTTACTATTTTAAATTATAGTTTAAGTACATTTATTTGTAAGGGCTATAATAATTAATTTATTATTAGTTATTTGAATATACTTTTCGGGTACTAATTTAGAAAAACGTTTGTTAATCAATCTGTTCTCACAACATCATAATTAAATCATGTTAGAATAAAATTTTGGATATAAACTTTTGCAAACATATATTGACATACATATATGATTTATTAGAGAATCACAAAGGATTCGTGCTGAACGTTAGAGGTAGATTTTTCATTGAAAACCATCAAAGTTTGAAGACTTATTTGATATAGGATTATTTGATTTTTTTACATTTTATAAATATTTAATATAAAAAAATAATATTATATCGAAAGAGTTTTTGTTATTATAAGTAAAATAAAAGTAAATAAAGTTTGTACTGTTTTAATTAGAATTTCTGTGATAAATTTATAAACTATTTTATATGATATGTTAATAATAATGTATTGAATGAGGAATATCTTACCTTTTATTATATTAAAATTCCATTCACTTTTTATAGACACTAAATTTAAGTCTAGTCTACTTTTTGATTAGAACACTTTTAAATTACTGGTAGCATGTTTTCAAATAGTAATTAATTTTTCAAATAATTTTTGACAATAAACATCAAATTAGTATAATTAATTTAAGATAACAATTTTTTTAAGTAAAATCAAAAACAACGCAGATATATAAAGTTAAGTTGCCAGGATTTCGTATCGATCAAAATAATTTTAAGATTTATTCATTTGCATCCTTAATCAAAATTTATATTCCGAATTTAACGATATAAGTCCGAGTTACCGCGTTCTTCGAGAGCTTTCAATAGACTGAATTCTATACAATAGGTTGACCATATAGCACGCGACTTGCCTGTATGTATGGATATGTATATCGAGTATATGTGCACATGTGTTGAATGTAATTTGTATAAAAATATGTAGATTGAATCATTTGCGGAAAAAATCGCATCTGAACCATGACAACAATGGTGAATACGTGGGTCTGCGTAATGTACCTTCTGAGCTATTAAATATGGCTCCGAAAATTATTCACGAACCTATAGGATCTAATTTTTTTAGGATTATTAAGCTCAATATAAAACACATATACATAATAATCTCACCCTGCAGCCACACTATTCATACTACTCTCCTAGTTTCATTTAATTTAGGCACGCCACTGACTCAATCACAGGTCACTAGTTCAGTCAGTTAAATACAAATCACCTCTCAAAAACTTACTAAACTTTCTTACACAAACTCACTCGTACACATAACTTTACATACAAAAAAACTCAACCACACAACAAAAAACACCCTCAACTTTGCCACACCATCCCATACAAAAACCTACTATACTAGGTCATCATCACACCGCTTTGAGGGTGCCTAGCTAGGTTACCTAAGTTTATAGGATCAAAGAGCAAGTTTTAAATAATTAAATTTGAAATGTGAAAGAAATTGTGGACGTATGTACGTCTAATCAGCAACAAATATGTAGATAGCATTTTTACAAGAAAATAGAAAAGTAAGCGACAAAAAAAGTTGAGCCAATGAATTTCTATACAATATTCACCCACTAGCTAAATGTAAAATCTGTCGACAGATGAGTGCCTGGTAACTCTGAAATCAACTCGTTCTTCCAAATTTTGTTTTTTTAAACTTGGACAGGAAAAGATCGAGGGTATAACTTTTGCAACACCATCCCACTAGTGAATTTTTTGGTCAAATTTAAGAAAATGATATTCTAATAGGATTCCATGTAGAGCAGCTAGGTGTTCATGTAAGGAGGCGTCCATAAATCACGTGAGTTATTTAGGGGAAGAGAGGGGGGCTTGACAAAAAATTACAAAATATCACGTGGTGGAGGAAGGGATGTAGTAAAATATGACGTGTATTTATTTTTTACCCAAATTTAAAAAAAAATCCAAACATTTTCAAAATTAATCAAAAATTTTACCATTTTTTCTCGTAACTAAAAATGGTAAAATTTTTGATTTTTTTTAATATGTGGTGGGTAATTTTGAATATAACCACGTATCACCAAGGGGGAAAGAAAAAATCCTTAAAAATCAATCACGTGACTAATGGACGCCCACTAAGTTTATTAGTGCAGCTAACAAGACACACAAGTCATGTATAACGCTATATTTCTTGATTATTTTTGTGAGCTAATTCATAATTTTCACTTTTATACTGTAATTATAATATATATATATATATATATATATATATATATATATGTCTGTGTAGATATACAGCTGTTTGTGTGATTTCATGCAATAAAGAACACGCAGTATGTTCAACGATGTATGACTTCTTTAAAAACTACCAAATACCAATGAGTCATTATGATTTGCTTATTGACAACGATTCTTATTATTATTTAGGGTTAACTATGATTATACTAAATTTTCAAATTATTTTTCTAATTAATTTCATTATTATTACAAATATTTTCATTTAAGATTGTTATCAGCAAGCTGACCATCAAGCTCGTTTGTTTAGTAAGTTTCTTGATAATTCGAGTTCTAAAAAATCGTTTAGTAAAAATTTCTTTTGTTGGGATAAATTTTCGGTTATAATTGAATTTTTATTTAATATGCACCTCTTATCTATTAGGACAATTGGAAGTTATTAACTTGGTTCTATACAATCTCTTTAAAATGTGAATTTATTTTTCAAAATAAGAAATGATGAATGTAAATTTTACGATTTAAAATTTCCAGTGGTTGTTTTTATCTGATGCTTGACTTGCGCTGTATGTTTCTGACAAAATGTCAATATTTCATTTTTACACCATTATTTTAACTCTATAATTTAATATATATAGATATATATATAGGGCAATATAAAAACAAAGAAATTCATTGTCGTAGGATAACTTATAAATAGATGGTATTAAAATAAAATAAACGAATTGTAAATTACCCTAATTCAATTACAATCGGGTAAGACAAATCTCAAACGCAGGCGCGCTTTTGGCTGGTCCAGCGCAGAATCCGCTCGGAGATTCTTCACGGGCAAAGGGTGGCAGCTGCCAACGCCCACTACACAGTTTTGTGACAAAATGTCGAAAATATTAAAATAAATATTTCCAGAAGGAAATTCAACAGTGGGTAAGATATCACTTATAATAATAATAATAATAATTGTATATAAAATTGTTGTTTGTAGAAGTGTGCGCATGTGATATAATCATACATTGAAAATAGGATTTGGTTTTTGGAATCGATAATAGCTAATGCTACTTATTTTTGTTATTTTTTGTCTTTGGAATTTCAACTACCATGTAAATTAATAATATAATGAATAATTTAACATGTATATTAATATTTTGTTTTGTAAATCTCTAATTGTTTAAAATGATCTTGTGTTGTACATTAGTAATAACATCACTTGGCAATGAGATTTTATAAATATTCGCAAAATGCTTTTGTTATTTGGAATATATTTTTGTATTTACTAGGAACGTTCAAATTAACTAGAACAATTAATTTTACCGTACAAAAACTTAAAAAAAATATTTAAGATTTAAGATTCAATTTTTTTTTCGTGTCTTGAAAATCTTGAATGTTCATGAACATCTACAATTTTGCTTATGCAATTAAGAAAGGTGAAATTAGTTTTTAAATTAATTATTTAAAAACTTAATTTCGTGTATTAAAATTTAGTTTACTAATTAGGTCAAAATGTCGGGACTGTTCGGAGGATGTCTGATTGTTTGCACCTTGGCAGTGGTGGTCAACGCTGGCAACCCAACTTATTACAATATCGGAGGTGTACTCAGCAACAATGATAGCCAAGCTCAATTCAAGGAAATCATCGCGGTAACTAATTAATTAAACAAAAATTATATTTTGTTTGAAGTCAACATTGTTTTAAAAAAACACCTTGTTATCTGATATTATTCATATATATATAGTTACATATCCTGATATCATGCAGTAGTGATTTCTACTTTCACTACACATTAATAGCCGATTTAGGCACTGTGTAAGAAATGACAATGGAAATTCCTTGGCATTATACTTTCTCGTTTCGAGTCGAAATTGAACTTATCATTAGCCTTTGGGCAGAACACCAATTATTTTCTCATACTTATATATAGTCAATGCCTGGTCTCATACCTAGTTCTAGGGTACCAGATATAATATCAGATATCGTAAAGTTATAATGATACACTTTCAATCACTGAATCGCTCAAAATTTAAGTCAACCATAACCAAAGGTATCAAATATATTACATTAATCAGAATGCACCTGAAATGGATGTAATTTGATTTTTTTTCAAGACTGTTATTTGATGAACATTTAAATTTGATGAAATGCATTATGAGACATAACAAGTTTTGTTCTTAAAATTTCAGCATTTAAACTTTGACCAACAATATGTGCCTCGAGGAGTAACTTATTATGACAAAGCTATATTGATGGATCCGAATCCAATAAGAACAGCCTTGAATGTTTGTAAACATCTTATTGCAGTTCGGGTAAGTAATTTAAATAGAGTATTTAAAATTCTGAATATTTTCTATTTACAAAATTCAAATTTGCTGTTGAAATAAAAATATTATTATATTGTTACAAATGCACCCACACGTTCGTAACAATATAAAAAATTATTTTTAAATGATTTAATGGCTTGGAATAAATTTGGAATAAATGATATATATCCGGTTATTATGAAATTGAACATCAGTGTATCGAATTTTTTCGATAAAACCTATAAAATGACATAAACCATTTACTTACCAATTGGAGCCCATGCCCTCTATGACTTCTATTTCCCATCCAGGTATACGCCGTGGTAGTTTCGCATCCATTGACAGGAGATTTATCACCGGCTGCTGTTTCATATACAAGTGGTTTCTACCATATTCCAGTAATTGGAATTTCATCGAGAGATTCAGCATTTTCTGATAAAAACATCCATGTATCTTTTCTACGAACAGTGCCACCCTATTCCCATCAGGCCGATGTGTGGGTTGAATTGCTCAAACATTTTAACTATATGAAGGTAATAAAGAACGTATGAAAGTTCTCTATTAAATATTTGGTTTTTTTTCACACTCATTTGGTTTTAGGTTATTTTCATTCATAGCTCGGACTCCGATGGTCGAGCCTTGTTAGGTAGATTCCAAACAACTTCGCAAAATCTTGAAGACGATGTGGAAGTTAAAGTTATCGTGGAATCTGTAATAGAATTTGAACCTGGTTTAGAAAGTTTCAAACAACAGTTGATGGAAATGAAAAATGCTCAAGCTAGAGTTTATTTGATGTATGCAGGGTAAGAATAAATATTGGATCTATGAAATTAATCTTCAGAAATTCAGGGATTATATGGTAATGAGTGATGATAATAGATAACGAGTGATGATCGATTGTTGGTATGTGTGTTTCTGGTTCCTTTTACCAATTGGTTAACAAACCACTTGAAATTTTTTCTGATTCATAATAATATTATTTAAACTAATTTGTCTAGAAAAACGGACGCAGAAGTAATATTCCGCGATGCAGCACGACTAAATATGACAGATAATGGATACGTCTGGATCGTGACGGAGCAGGCACTGGACGCGGAAAACGCACCAGAAGGACTTCTTGGGCTCAAACTGGTCAACGCTACCAGCGAGGAAGCACACATTCGAGACAGCATGTTTGTACAAATTTTATATGTGCTATTTAACCATTTTAACAGCGATACATTGCAATTAATGCAATTAAGCATCACAAAAATTTAATGACGTTTTAGCTCTTGTATTCATACCAATAGATTTTTACATAGAGAAAACCTCGAAAAATATTGCGTGTAAGAATAATATTGATCCCAAAAACTGTATTACTAGATTGATGTTCCAATTTGATAAAATTATCTATGATCTACAACTCTTCCTAAATAATCAAACTATCAGTGGCAGTGAATATGAAATGTCATATATTAAGAATGTTCTACAATTTTTGACCCATTTACTAGATATGTGTTGGCGTCCGCTATTCGTGATATGAACCAAACTGAAGAGATAACAGAGGCACCAAAAGATTGTGACAAATCCGGATCCATTTGGGAGTCCGGGCGCGTCTTATTCGAGTATATCAGGAAGCAGGTGCTTCTTAATGGAGCAACTGGAAAAGTTGCATTCGACGACAACGGCGACAGAATTTTTGCTGAATATGAAATCATTAATGTTATTGAGAAAAAGGAACATAAGGCGGTTGGGCACTATTATTATAATGTTGTAAGTATAAGTTTCATTTCATCTAAACTCAACGATTCAAGTCATTCTGAATCATTTGAGTTCAAATTTGGAAAGAGTATCTAAAGTTATCTAAAAAGTCCTAAATTCGCTATATGATTGTTTTATCAGGAACAAAAACGTATGCGCCTCCGGCTGGATGAAAATAATATATTGTGGCCCGGAAGAGTACGAACAAAACCAGAAGGCTTCATGATACCGACACATTTATTGGTACTGACAATCGAAGAGAAACCTTTTGTTTATGCAAGAAGATTAAATGAAGATACTGACCATTGCATTCAAGACGAGATTCTATGTCCACATTTTAATAATACTCCCGATAAAGGTAATTGTATAATCATAATTATACTTATAAATAAAAATTATACTTATAAATATATTATATTGTTATATATATTATAGTTATCTATATACTATTGATATTAATTGTTTGTTATTATTTTTACATAGCCGCTGGCCTTTATTGCTGCAGAGGTTTCTGCATAGATCTTTTGAAGGAATTGTCCAGAACGATCAACTTCACATTTAGCTTGGCTTTGTCTCCAGATGGACAATTTGGAAACTACGTTCTAAAAAATACTACGAAAAAGGAATGGACTGGTTTAATTGGTGAACTGGTTGCAGAACGAGCAGATATGATAGTAGCTCCTCTAACCATAAATCCAGAACGAGCAGAGTTTATAGAATTTAGCAAACCATTCAAGTACCAGGGAATTACGATATTGGAAAAGAAAGTATGTATATATCATCTACAAATACTTGTGCATTGGTTTTTACACGTTTTCCTTATTCTAGCCTTCTAGATCATCCACCTTGGTATCTTTCTTGCAACCATTCAGTAATACGTTATGGATACTGGTTATGGTTTCCGTACACGTAGTGGCTCTGGTGTTATACCTATTGGATAGGTTTTCACCCTTTGGACGATTTAAGTTGGCAAACACTGATGGTACTGAAGAGGACGCTCTGAACTTGTCCAGCGCGATCTGGTTCGCGTGGGGCGTGCTGCTTAACAGCGGAATTGGGGAAGGTTAGCGGAGCCCTAGTATTTTTTATTACTTTTGGTCGAATATGGTTATCGTTTGGTACTTGGATTTTTTTCTAGACTTTTTTTAAAATGAACTATTTACTGTACTGTTTGGTTTACATTATTAGTTCCAATTTTTTTGTGTGGACAACATGTGATTTGAAATTTGCCCTATATCGATTTTTTTTTTATTTTCTGACTGCTAAAACACTATATTAAAACTTTAAACTAAAAGTCTATGTTAAACTTATAAAATTATTAATTGAATTTAAAATGACAATTCTGTCAGGTTTACAGCTTTCTTCATATTAGATATTTAACAATAAAGTCATTAATATAGGACAAAGAAATTTTAGCCATGTTTAAATAGAAAATTCAAATACAAATAGCAGTACCAAATGATAATGAAATATAATTATATTATATGCGATTTTTACCAAATGATAAGATTGCGTATAATATAAACCATAATTTACGGAATGATTGCTATGCGCTTGAACATAAATCTAATAATAAAAATAATTTTTTTAATTTATCATAGGTATATAAATCAATGATTAGCTATTAATCAGTAATATTATTAGATTTATAGCACGGCTATTTTTTTCAGCATATTTATTACAAAGTTCATTTTAATTAGAGTCAGAATGCGCTTTTTAATTGCAATACAAATGGTATGATTACATTAACATACTGTAACTGATATATAAAATATGTATTAGTAGTTCTAAATAGCAACACACATAGTTTGAAATAAATATCAGCAATTTATGGCATGGAATATTTTTTAAAATTTATTCTTAAAATTTTGCTGCTTAGAAAGTTAGAGTTTGATATCGTCTATGCTTGTTTGTTAGAAATACATTAGATAATATTTTAGAAAAATTGAGACGGTTTTAAGTGAATATAGAGATTCATTGATTTAATAAAATATATGTAGTTACATGTGTGATTGTATGACTATTTAGAATTATCATATCATAACGACATAATATTATTGCTCTTTATTCATAGAAACGAAAAATTTATTTATAAAACATAAATGCTTTAATGAAATACTGAAACATAAATATTCAGTCGAGTTTTTTTTTCAATTTTTTTATATTGTTCATTCAGAGTTTTTTATGTGGTTGCGTACAGTATTTTATTATGACTAATTATGAAACTTAGTGGTAATTCAAATCGCAAAAGCTTTAGAAATTTATATAGCTGCCAAAAGCCGCGCAGTATTTATCATAAAATTGAATTTGTAGATTCACAAATTCAAATATATAATTTTTATAATAATGATATTAACTTTTATACTACTTTTTGATGATTTGTGAAACTATGAATTTAGGTGTTTGCATAGAGTACACATAAAATGTGTTCTTGTGCAAATTCTAAACATTTTTCATCGGTAGTAAGCAATCAGAGTGCACAGTTCGTTTCATATATATTTATGTAATTTTTATCAAGTTTGGGGGGAGGTAATTTTGAATATCACCCACCAAGGTAAAGAGGGGTCCAAAAATCTTTAAAAACTCGCTCACGTAATTAATGAACGCCCCCCAAATAGTGAGGCAGAAAGTTGAAAATTGGTATATCATTTTTTTCCAAAGGAACCTTTAAAATGACATTAATAGCTTTTTTCGTATGGCAATGAACCGATGCCCTTTTAAGGGGGTATTCTACTGTAGAATTTTGAAAAAATCGAAAATTTTTTTTTTACATTTACAAAGTTTAGTTATTCAAAAATATGTCATTAAAAGGATTTTTCAAAATCACTATTATTTCTTGAGTTATAGCCGTTTTAGTGACGTGGCCTCGGTTCGGGTCCGACTTGTCTCAAAACTTTGAACGCGTTTTTCTCGGAACTACTTTTTTCGAGCTGGCGGTTAGGATATCTCGAGTTCTAATGAACCGATTTACTTCAAATTTGGAGAGGATCTTCTCTATATATCGCTTTATCGCGTGGACCTTGCCCAAAACTATAACTTTCCACTTAGTATTTTTTAAAAATTCGGAAATGTTAAAAAAACATAAGAAAAAAATTTTTTTTTCAAACTGCCGCCATTCGAACAATTTTTTTTTTTAACTTATCCAAGGGTCATACGATAGCGGCATCTATAATAATTAAGATCCATCTATTTTTTATGTTTCGGATCACCAGGAGGGTTGGAATCATGCACGCCAGGACACCCTCTTTTTTTTGAGCCCCCACTTTGACTGCTCACAACTTTGTGAATTTTAATTTTTTTTTAATAATTTTTTTATGTAATAATAAAATATCAATAAACAAATGATAAAAAAATCGATAGTAAAACTATTATTTGTTTCCTTTATACAGCGTTTCAAAAATCGGGCGAAATTCATGCCTCTACAGTAGAATACCCCCTTAAGACTTCATTAGTCATAGTAGTCAACATGGATTAAATTCTGGAATTTTGAAAATTATATCCTAAAAAGCTTCTGGCGACGAAATTAGTCAATAGTGATCGGGATGTGATCAAAAATCGATATGTATGTAACGAACATAGTGCACTATTATTCATTCGTCTTGATCCGCTGCTGAACAATCAATAATCAATGGCTGTGCGATGATGTGATTGCGTCGCTGTCGCCTGAGCGCCTTGCCTGTAGTCTTGCACGCCTTTAATTTGTCAATATCACTGCAACTATTGTAGGCACACCGCGCAGCTTTTCGGCCAGGGTACTCGGTATGGTGTGGGCTGGATTCGCTATGATCATTGTGGCTTCGTATACTGCCAATTTGGCCGCCTTCCTCGTGCTGGAACGCCCCAAGACCAAGTTGACTGGCATCAATGACGCCAGAGTAAGTCACGATACACCATTCTCGACGGGAGACAACGGACTTTGTTATTTGGTCACGTTAGTCTTTCTTGTCTTACCTAAGAATTGGCTATCGAGAAATTTTCAGCAAATTAATTCAACGACAATGATGACGCAGTAAGTCGTGCCACCCCTATCCCGAAATGTGATGTTATTTTTGTTCTCGTGTTGATACTTATATCTATAAATATCTTTTATGCTTCTCACATCATCTATTCAGACAATTGAGGTATTTGGTTGCACAATTGAGGTATTTTTGCTAAAATGTTTTCCTGATAGACTTATTTTCATTCAATAATCTAAAACCTCTAAAATCCCTTTTTACATTGTATGAATTTATTTGTTTCATATTATCAAATCTCTATGTATTAATACTAGCTTCAATAACTTATTAAAAAAACTATGCATATTTTTAGCAAAAACCCACATATTATAATAGAAACATCAAGTAGATATTTGTCATTTTTTATATATTTTATTTTTTTGATAAAATAATGGCTATTGTTTAAATTATAGAGATTCATTATATAATTATAGGATATTAAGGCAGTATCTTCTTTTGGTTATATCCTAAATAGCTTTCTGTTGTTTGAAGATTTATCTATTATATAAATATAACAATATAAAATTAGAGTATCAATATCTGATAACTTTTGAATGACTGATGAATTTTCTCTCTAAAATTTTCTTCCTATCTGGTTCATGTAGAAGCTGATTTATTAAAAAACACACTATCAATTTACCAATACGTTTTCGATGGTGCTCCATTGATACGTAGAATAAAAAAGCAATCACAATACTATTCACATAACACTGTCAAAAAATGGCCAACAATTAACCAATTAATATAATTTCATTTACAACTTTACAAAAATACACAAATTATAAAATTTTTAATAGACTGATTCATAAACTTTTACATTGATTACAGTCCAACAAAGAAAATAGTGCGATTTTAATGCTGTTTTTAAGTATATTTGGGGCGCTGATTTCAAAAATGACATTGTTTTTTTCTATGAGCTTTAGTTTTCAAGATATGATATATATGATATATAAGGAATGAAAGTACATAATATAAATACAATTTAGAATGTTATTTTAATGAGATATGCCTACTCGTACATACAAACTTACAAGACCCATTCGGCCTTAGTTGGGACATTAGTTGTCACTGTGAAAAGTTCTTTTCCGTGACGACCTAGAATGGACCTGGTTTCGATAACTTTTTTCCAAGTTCCAAACTAGAGCTAATACAAAAAATGGTTTGCAGATTTGAAATCAGCGCAAAAAATACTATAAGAGCTCTAACATTTGATGCATCAAACGAAAAAAAAATTTTTTTTGTAGGCCTGTGTTATATATAATAATTCTGTACTTCTTCATTTGCTCTTCCAAAATTTGTATTTATTTGATTTAACTGAACCCAATTGGCCTTGTATCAAATTATTTTTATTGCAATTGTCTAATTACTTTATAATTTATTATAATCAAACAGCTTCGTAACACAATGGAGAATTTGACTTGCGCAACGGTCAAGGGATCAGCTGTGGACATGTACTTCAGAAGGCAGGTGGAATTGTCTAATATGTACCGCTCTATGGAAGCGAATAATTATGATACTGCCGAAAGAGCCATACAGGATGTTAAAATTGGGTAAGATTTCTAAAAACACATGTGACAAATTACGGAAAATGATAATCCGTGACTGACGAGTTGCTTGGAGTCGTTAATAATGGATTTGCAATTTAGCTTGATTTATTAGTTATATATATATCTCAGTTATTATTTATTACACCTTTACAACTGGTACGCATTTACTGTGCTTTTCGTCTTTTAGTAAATTGATGGCGTTCATCTGGGACTCCTCTCGATTGGAGTTCGAAGCGGCACAAGATTGTGAATTGGTGACTGCTGGAGAACTCTTTGGGCGATCAGGGTATGGAATAGGACTTCAAAAAGGATCGCCCTGGGCGGACGCAGTTACTCTGGCTATTTTAGATTTCCATGAAAGTAAGAACATTACTGATTATCTACATATATATAAAATTAAGTCGGATTTTCCTTCCTGACGATATAACTCCAGAACGCACAAACCGATTTCGACAATTTTGCATTCGTTGGAAAGGTCTCGGGCTCCGGTTCATAGCTAAAAAAAGTGGTGCATGGCATCGTGCCTTGATGCAAATTGCTGAAATTTCAAGCACCGTAATTAAAATTTCGATTAATGACATTAGTGAGAATTATCAGAATTATGCTTGGTTAAAACAACGAGCAATTCTTGCCGCAAAGAATAATGATGTACACGCACTGAATTTCACCATTCAATCAAAAATTGCTGGCGATTTGGTGACATACCAATGATTCCGACAGGTCTTCCGTTTAACTTCAAACGATTGCAATTTCCAGTTCGCCTTGCGTTCGCAATAACAAGTCGCAAGGCCAATCGCTTAGTGTTTGCGGGATAAATTTCAAATAGATTATTTAGAAAATCATTGTTTTTCACATAGGCAGTTATATGTTGCCTGTTCACGAGTTGGAAAACCATCCGCTTTGTTTGTGTTAACGTCAGACCAAAAAACAAAAAATGTGGTTTACCAAAGAGCACTTCAATGAAACGGATAATTTGCCGATTCACTTTCATTTACTTAGAGAAGTTCAACTAAAAAACACTTCATTTTTGTAATCGAAATAAATTCATTACTGTTGTGCAATAAAATCAAATTTTTCCTTTTCAAATATAAAACAAACAAAAAATTTCTTCATCTTTCTCGCGAAACCATCTGGTGGCAAAACGGAGTTCGTCGGGTTTGCTAGTTTTACTATAAAAATCATTTGAATTATTTAATAGACTCTCTTCCAAAGAAACATTTTTAATTATCCATTTTTGATAGACCATATGTTCGTTTTTTAAGCTTGATCTGAATTTTTTAGGTGGTTTCATGGCATCGCTAGATAACCAATGGATTTTTCAACGTAATGTTTTGCAATGCGAGCAGTTTGAAAAAACGCCGAATACTCTTGGACTAAAAAATATGGCAGGCGTTTTTATCTTAGTCGGAGCTGGTATTGTCGGTGGAATATTTTTGATAGTTATTGAAATGGCATATAAAAAACATCAAATCAAAAAGCAAAAAAGAATGGAATTAGCAAGACATGCAGCTGATAAATGGCGAGGGGTAATAGAGGTAATTAAATATATAAGGTAAGAAGTTTGGATACCCCTAATGTACTAAACTTTTCGGTTAATATCTAGAAACGTAAAATGCTACGAGCTTCAATAGCAGCCCAGCGTCGTATCAAATCCAATGGAGTGAACGATTCAACAACCACCATAAGTTTAGCCGTGGACAGAAGTCCTGGACTGTTGGGCTTACGACCTTGTCCTCCAAGAAGTATTTTGGACAAGGGCTGGGCAACGGACACCGATTTGCGACAGAGAAGATTAGAGGAACTTGGTATACAACCCTCACCAAGATATATGCCTGCTTATACTGCAGATGTGAGTCATCTTGTGGTGTAGAGATTTATAAGAAATATTTTGTACTGATTTACAAGTATCATGTTAGCAATATTTAAGAAGAAACCTTTGGTGTACTATCATTATATGATAATATCAGAATTACGAATCAACTTGAAAGTTGAAATTGTTTACTAGAACCAAAAATTGCGTTAGTTTTATATAATTTACAAAATGAGGTACTTATTAAAAACACTGTTCTTTTGTAATAAATTTTAAACATTTTTGTCTCCAAAACTTTGGCGACAAAGTCGACTTGTTGATGAAGCATAACAACAAATTTAAATAAAATATTTAATAAGTTGAAATAAGTTGCATAAATAATTCAAGTAAAATCCTTAGATATGTTATATTAGAGCAAGAATATGAATAATTTGGATTAGAAAAATATATTTAAATATTATATATGTATACATTCTGCATATATGCAATTGGGAATATACTAACAATATTTTTTTTACCAAAGTATCCAAATATTTTACTTGAATTGATATTACTGCCAAGTTTTAAGTACTAAAATATGATAAAGATATTATGTATGATGAACTATATAAAATTCACACATTCCTCTTAATAAATGTTGATATATGTACATTTTATCATGTAAATGTTATTAAATTAATATCTATTTATAAAAGACAGAAAATTATTTATAAAATTAATATTATCATTACTATAATTTAAATTATGTTGGAACAATAATTGGTTTATATATGTTATGATAATGCTGTTATTCTAGTTATATATTTATTGTAAATAAAATGGTCATAAAATCTATACAACTGCATATTCCTTTTTTCTATGGATTTATGGATAAAACTTTATTATTTATGGAAACTTTTAAAGCTTATACTTTAAAAAGATTGTTTCTAGAACTAGTGTAATTTTGCAAATTCTTGCACAATTTTTGACGATTTTTTAAATTTGTAATTTTAGAACTTAATAGATTTTTGATTGGTTGCATCGCAAAAAAATCGAAAATGAAAATTTATATGTCTTTACGTTTCAAAGGTTTTTGAACATTTTGGCATACCTTAGAAAAAATGGATGTATGTGTGTGTGTGTGTGTGTGTGCGGATACAAATTTTCGTCGACGATTTCGGGAACACCGATCAACCGATTTGAATAATTCAAAAAACATTCGATTTGTATTAATAAGAGGACGTGCTGATTAGTTTTTGGCGAAAGTAGGTCTCGCCCTTTCGAAGATACGGGGCAAGAAGTACCAAAAACGGTAACTCAATTTTTAAGAGGACAGAGCGTCCGATTTCAATAATTCAAAAAACATTTTACTTGTATTGACAAGATGAAGAACTGATTAAATTATTGGGAAGGCAGGTTCAGCGGTTATGGACTCTCAATATAAATAAGTTAAAAAAATCATCAGTCATTTGGCGGTCAAAAAAGATTAAAATTGAAATGGAAAATTAAAAATTGATTCATAAATTATTACCTTTTATTTGATGTATCGCTTTGGAAGAACTTATTCATATTTATATAAACATCCGGTACTGTTGTCACAAACTAATTTTCCTTATCCAAATAATAATTTAGTTATTTTGTCATCTCCTACAAACACAGCCATTGTAGAAATAATTAAGCAACTAGCAAAATAAGATGAAAGTTCATGAACCAACAAATAAATTATATTCACTCACAATATTTTAATATCCTAGGTATTTTAGGTTACATTTTGAGGTTATATTTCAAAACCTTACTTTTTGAAAGTACATACCTTAACAATTTTCACATGAACAAATGTGTAATTCATCCCATCATTTCACTAAACATTTTTTCACTTTTATTCACATAACACTTGATTTTACAAAATAATAACTTTAAAATAATTCATGTCAAGTGACCATGTGTCATGAATGCACTTTATTCTATTATTGCATAGGACCATGTGTTTAAATAATGGAAATGGATACAAGCCAAAAATAAGAAATGGCATGAAGTAGGCACATCTTATGCAATATGCAAATCCTGAATCCTTTTGCCAACAAAGGGAGAAAAAACTGTAAAAAGCTTCATATGCTTTTTGATAATTATGTTTGGTATTGTTGATATTTTAAATCAATTGTAGACAATGTTCTCTAATAAACTTACATTTTTTAACATTCGTTGTATAACTTGTTTCTTTCGAGATACATTGCTCATATATTACATTTAGTTAACATCATGCTCCTAACTTTTAGCTCCTGAGTTCCATTGCATCAAGTAGCATTTGCCGGGTATATATAAAATGATATATCTTTATAATGAAATGAATTTAAAACAAATTTTAAGTTGAATATATCAGTTTATTAAATATAAAGAATGTGCTACTTAGAAGATTTCATGCAAAAACATGAATGAAACACTTTCTATAATCACAAATTGTGGTAATATTCTAATAACAATAAAATATTCAAGTATGATATACCAAAAATTCTATTATTATAATAATATTGTTATTAAAACTTATGTTTTTATGATAAGTATCTACAGCATCAATATGTACGTAAATGCTTATGAAGAGGTGGGTAAGCTCAAATTTCTATTCTCCAGGAATTCGTATTCAAATAATAAAAGTTTAATTAGTTACTAAATTTACATTTTATGATAAATAAGTAAAACATTTTTTAAATTTTCAAACCAAGTCAATTCCAAATTATCTTCAGTAAAAAAATAAATCAAACAATTTAATCTTGAGAAATAATTCAACCTTGGAATGTTTTTACTTTGATATTTATATGATTCGAATAATCACTTTCTTAAAATCATGTTATTAGTTTATAAACAATGGATGGCTAATCCCTATATGATTTAAATTTATATTACACAACAAGAACATTTACATCATAAGTATTTTTATTAAATTAAAATATTCACTATATCACTGAAAAAGCACTTCACTTATAATAACTAAGGAATTTGTTCCTGCGTTGATCGAGATTTTGCCATGAGATATATATCATCAGCCCTGGCCTTAGCCTTGTCCGTGGCATTTCTTGCTACTTCTTTAATTATATTTATATTGGAATTGGCATTGTTATGGTTTAATGCATCTTCTGTTATATAATTGTGTGGAGCAAACATTTTGTTTAATATATAATTATAGCCGACAATTGCCTTTGAGCAATTGTGTCGAAAACGTTCCAAGCCAAAAGCCTTAATAGCTCTAGAAAATCCAAAAACTTGGGAATCAATCCACGCTGACCTCACAGCTATTGTATGATTTGGATTATCTGTACTAGCCTTATAGACAACTTTTTCAATAACACTCATTACTTTTGCATGCCCCATGTTGAATGTGTAAGTAATCATCGTTTTGTTTAGTGGATCCACAATACTCTCCTCATAAATTTTCACAAATGGTGCGCTAATAAACTTTTTGCCCCATTTTGGAACTAAATTTGTTTTAGTTAGTAATCGTCTTGTATGCAATCTACCTTCTTTAACGTCACGGGTAATAGTGTCCTCAGACAAAACATGAGAGCTGTGAGGATTTGGATATCGTAACCAAAACGCTTTGGCAACTTGGTCCCATTTAAAATTAAATACTGTCGTATTCTCAAAATATTTTGCTTTAGACATTTCGATTTATGAAACAACAGAATAATTAATTTGGTATATATATGTAGTTATCAAATCAAAATTGTGATTTATATTCTGTCTTTTTAACTAAAATTTGATTAAAACCCGTAACCCCGTAACATTCCCATTTTACTGCACTACAAATATAGTAATGAGATTTGATGACAGATTAGCATAGATTCGAAATGCTGTGGATTATCACTCGGCAAGTAAGAGTAAGTTGTCAATACCATAGATATACCAAGAAGAGTATATAGAGGATAAGAAACTTATGAAATCTTCACAAATGTGTGAAAGTAACGTTGATTATTTTGATTTGATTTAAAAAAAAAAAAAAAAACATGTTAGAATACGTTTGTTGAGACTCAGTTTTATTAGTCTTGAATAGCAATTCTATTCATTCACAAACTTATGTTTCAAACAAGAGATTACAAATAAATATATTGTTTTTTTAGCCAAATTTAATTTCACATATCCTACATCACAAATATTAATTTTTCATTAAATTGTAAATATATTAGTCAAACTTAGTTAATTATGAACCTAATTTGTTATCTTCATCTTCATATAGAAATAATTATATAAATAATGCCAATAATAATAAATAATTATACTCATATGATACTTAAACCAAAGTATTGCAAATAAAATATAAATAAACTCCATATATATTATATTCACTAATGAAATTATTTCAAATATTTTATCTTAAGTAAAAAAAAAATTGTTTACAATTAAAAATAAAAAGCTGAGATGTTTTTGCCAGTATATATATATATATATATATATATATACACTCATATAAGTAAAATTATCCTTTTATTACAGCAATCGGTCTCAGTTTTATACACTTTTTACTTATTCCAGCAGCATGGCAAGTGTTAACAACATCTGTCACATTTTTGTAGCTCTCAGGAGCCTCCTCCATTAATAATTTAGGTGATGCCACTCGAATGGATATGCCTAATTCATTTAGTTTTTCTAAAACTTGCGTATAATCTAAAGTTCGTCTTGATTTTGCTCTAGATAAAGCACGTCCGGCTCCATGGCATGTTGAACCAAATGTTTCTACCATACATTGTTCAGTACCAGTCAATACATAACTGCATGTACCCATGGTTCCACCAATAAGTACAGGTTGTCCTGTGAGTTGGTAATCAACTGGTATTAAGGGATGATGAGGTGGAAATGCACGTGTTGAACCCTTTCTATGAACTAATAATGTCTTCTGTTTTCCATCAACCATATGTTCTTCAACTTTGGCTATGTTATGAGATACATCATATATCACATGCATATCTAGATCATCTGGGGTTGAATTAAATTGTTTAGCAAATGCTTGACGACTTAAGAATGTCATTGAACTTCGATTTACCCAGGCAAAATTAGCTGCAGCAGCCATACCTTTTAAATAGTCTTGACCTTCAGTTGAGTTGATATGTGCACAAGCCAATTGACGGTCATTTGTTAGTATATTATCTCGTTTCATAGCCTTTTCCATTTGAACTAAAGCATCAGTGGCAACTTGATGACCAAATCCTCTACTTCCTGAATGTATCATAACACAGATTTGGCCTAACCGTTCAATACCCATTTTGCTTGCAGCCCATTTGTCATAGATTTCATCAACAACTTGAATTTCTGCATAGTGATTTCCAGCACCAAGAGTTCCCAATTGTGGTAAACCTCGCTTCTTAGCACGCATGCTTACTTTTGATGGATCTGCATTGAGCATTCGGCCATATTCCTCACAGTGTTCCTTGTCTTCGGCCCACACATATCCTTCTCGCAATGACCAATCCATTCCCATCTCAAGTGCTTCTTCAAGATCTCGAGCATTCATTGGTATGATGCCTTTTGAACCAACTCCTACAGGTATATGATCAAACATTGATTGCGCAAGCTGCTCTTTGACAGGTAGTACGTCTTTTTCATGTAAATTTGTTCTCAAAAGTCGAACACCACAATTTATATCAAAACCTACACCGCCAGGACTAACAATTGACTTTGGATCAGCAATATCAAATGCTGCCATATTACCAATTGCAAAGCCATAGCCAGAATGAATATCTGGCAAACCTACTGAATGGCCAACAATTCCAGGCAAAGCTGCAACATTAGCAATTTGTTTTACTCCTGGAAGAAAGCCACCAACCATACCGGGCCTACAAGAATTTCTGAGTTCCTCCAACATTAATTTTTCGAGTGTTTTGTTCACATAAAATACACCTTCTACATTCATATTAGGCTGAAAGCCCTTTTTTATTTTCCAACAATGATCATTAATCTTTTCTAAATATTGAAGTTCTTCATTATACTGCCGAACAACCATTTTTAAAGTTTATCGAATTTCCTTTTCTAATTACTTGTAATGTTACTATTATTTAATTACACGTAATGTTATTATTATTTTGTCTAGGGTTATGTCGAGCGGTAACAAAGTTGTCCATACGAGGAACAGAACCATAGATGAATAAGACTCGAGACATAGGTATCGACTACGATCGACTACCGGACAGTCACCCAAACATTCCGTTAGAAATCCATCCATAGATAAGTAAACATCAAAACGATATTATGGCGCCACCAGATACTAAAGCAAAATTTAAGGGCTGTATGAAGAAATAGGGAACGGGCAAGCTCTCCTCTAGCGGATTTTAAGTGCAACTTGGATTCCAACAAATATGGCGGATGACACATTTATGAGTTGAATTTGCTGTCAACTAATATTTGTTTTGACGTAAAACGTGCATTTTTAGGTTAAACATTTAATAATTCATATTTCTTACATATTTTCATCATTTATTTTTTATGACTTTACAATAACAGAGGTAAGAATAATGAAATTCAAAATATAAATTTTGTTTGCTACTACCAATATGCATACTATTTACATTCAGGAAGGATATTCAATCAGAAAAATATTGAAAGTTCAAAGTTTGAAGAGGCTTCAGTAAATTAAATCAATATTTGCTTAAATGATCATATATACATGCATAAAAACATTATTAAAAATCCATTTGTGAGTTTGATTCTTAGAAAACACTAATTATGGAAGTTAGAAATTAGTTATATTGCTTTAGGTTTTACTTTTCAGATTCATTCGTTGGTAGTTTCCAGGGTATTTGAAAGTAGGTTCTTATTTATTTGCACTCCAGATGGCTTTATTTCATTTGTTAATAATGTGGGCTTAGGCAGAATCACTCCAACCCAAATTAATGTACTCTCGGGCGTAATAAAAAAAAGTAAAATCTGGATGTGCTGTATTAACTGACAAAGGTAAATTCATGAGTAAAAAAGACAAAGTTTTTAATTGTACTTTATAGTCAGGATTTTCATCAATATGGACTGAGTTAGACAAATTAATAAATATAGCAGTACTTGTGCATATGCTATTTGTTTAAAATTAAATTTAAAACGGATTATTTTCACCAGGAGATATTAATTAAACACACTTTGAAGCTAGTGTGCGTATACATGTAGAATGAGTCATACACAGAATGAAAATTTTAAAACTTCTATGTAATATACCAAAGGACTATCAATTTTCTGGTGAAAATATTGTTTTTTTATGTCCTATTTTGGTGAATCTTCAAACTTTCATTATTGGATAAGATGGGGATGGTAAATGAAAGAAATGTTAATTTATATTAGATTAAATATATATGTATCATGACTGTTAGCTTGTATAATAATATTAACTGTACATAAATGTTATATGTAATACATAAATTGAAAGCTTTTGGAAATCAAAGATGAATACTTCTTATATGTACCTAAATTAATCTGAAAGAAAAAACATTGAGAGCATATAATTTAAAGTATAAAATTTTAACAGGTATGCAATATTAAATTCACACAAATAATTACCAATCTATGAAGGAGACCCTCTTCTATCAATATTAGCAAATACTGCTCATCGGTATAAAATTTTGGAGAAATTCTTCAACCGTGCATATACTGATACAATAGCTTCCTAAAACTTTTAAAAGTAATATCTTTTTATGCAATAAAACAAAACATACCTGCAGTAATGCAATAATACAAAACAATTAAATCAAATCAAATTGCAGTGTAGAAATCCTGTAAGTCCTGACATCCTATCAAATATGAGATTCATTCTGCAACAAAGTACTAATAGAAAGATCTAAACTTTGTTCAGCTGATAACACAACATGCAAATCATAAAATATCTTATGGCCTTGTCTGAAAATTTTATCATACCTTTAAGCAACACATGTTTGTTTTAATATGGTGGTCAACACAGCTGGGCATTAACTCGTTAATCCGTTAATCGTTAATTAACGAAGTTAACATTTTGATTAACGGATTAACTTTTAAGTTAACTTTTAAAAATGTTAACGGACACGTTAACTTCCGTTAAAATGCGAGAAGTCCGTTAATCGTTAATCCAATGCCTACTATTTACCGCACGGCACAGCTTTAGCCAATGCCTTATTAAACGGCATAGAGAAAAGATTTGGACTACTCCTGAATGATACAGTGCCAACTTGCCGCGGCATTTCACCCAAAGTTTCGGTTTGTGGCTGGAAACGTATGACAGCAGTAGAGAGGAATGCAGTAAGAAAATGCACGGAAAAAAAGGTAGAAGATGCCTTATGGCAAGAAGCAGCGAAAAATTCGAAGGACAGATAGTTTAAGTGGCGGAGGGAGCAATGCGAGTAACAACGATGATGACGAGAAGAAAGACTTTTTCAATTCTGTCACTCAGTCTATATTGAAAAACCAAAGAGCTACAAACTCTTTAAAGAACTAGCTGTAAGTAAGTGGAATTCTGTCTTAAGGCAATTAAGGCATTGTGCCTTAAGGCAAATTGCTGGAACTTCCCGTACCAAAAATTATTAATTTTTTAAAAACGATTAATATTTTTGAAAAAAATTAACTTACTTCGAAAAAATGAGATTTTTGAGAAACAAAAAAAAATTGTTTGAAAAAAGAAGTTTTGGCATAGTTTGGAAATCCTGAACTTTTTTTCAAAGCAATCGTACTGCTTCAACTGCATAGAGACAAAATGTCAAAGCGCGTAAGCGCCGCGTCGCCGTCTAACGAATAAACATTGGTACGGAACCCAAAGGAATACAAACAAAATTTATACTTATTGTTAAAATCTCTATAAAATATCTGATAATTTGATGTGCATATGTCTAATGATCATTTTTGACCGCCAAATGGCATTTTTTTTTTACTTTTTTCATTAGATCTTCGAAACCGCTAGACCTGCCTTTATGAAAATTTGATCGGTTTTTCACCTTGTCAATACAAGTAAAATGTTTTTTGAATTATTAAAATCGGACGCTCCGTTCTCTTAAAAACGGAGGTACCGTTTCTGGCACTTTTTGACCCGTATCTTCGGAACGGCTAGACCTGCCTTCGCCAAAAACTAATCAGCACGTCTCCTTATCAATACAAATCGAATGTTTTTTGAATTATTCAAATCGGTTGATCCGTGTTCCCGAAATCGTCGACGAAAATTTGTATCCGCACATACATACATACACGTACATACATACATACATACACACACACACACACATACACACACACATACATCCATTTTTTCTAAGGTATGCCAAAATGTTCAGGAACCTTTGAAATGTAAAGATATATAAAAATTTTCATTTTTTATTTTTTGCGATTACTATAACTTGCCCTACGGGAAGTTTATAAGTTTTTTAAGTTCACTAACGCAACGATATAAAAATGTAATTTTACACATATTAACGGATTAACGATTAACGTTAACTTGCGTTAATTCTTCCGAAATGTAACGCTTTAACGTTTAACGAAGTTAACTTTTTTTGTAGCGGATTAACGATTAACGAAGTTAACTATTTGATTAACGGTGCCCAGCTATGGTGGTCAATAGCAAATACATTTTAATTATGAGTACATACCTCAATGAATCTATCCAACGAAGCAATTTATTTCTTCTAACGTTAATTATAACAAAATTCACTTTCTTATTCATGCGCTTTCTTCACTTAATATACGCACATGATTGGTGACTCAGATATACCGCATTATTATTAGAAATAAATAAAAATTGCGATTATAAGAAGCAATAACCATCTTTAACAAGCACATAAGTTTGAATAAAACCTGTCAAAATACGAAATAAAACCTGTCAAACGCCATCTTGTTTGGAATCCTTGTTTGCACTTTTTCGCCACCCAGAGAAGTCATGGCGTTTTCACTGACATTTTTATGAGCTTGCCCGTTCCCTATTGGTTTATTTTACTCTGAGATCAATAAAATCTTACAAAAATAGTATATAAAATATCATATAAGATTTCGCCAACTTAAATAGCAACTTTTCAAATATTTATTTTACACCATTCTACATTCACGGAAAATTTATTAACGTATGAAAAACGGTTATGAAAAGCGCTGAAATTAATGCCACATTCACGCTTATCACTATTTGACATTGTTTTCATTGACAAATGTTATCATATTATTAATGGTTATAAATCGCACGTTTTAAAAATAATTCTCTTAATTTTAGTAATCATTTTAAAGTAAGTGATTTCTATATTTTATTTACAAATATTAATTGCTCTGTCAAGTAAATTAAGCAAAGTCATATTGGAATCATATATTATTTGTTATGATTAACTATTATGGCAGTTTCCGACGTATCCGATAAATGCTTGGAATATGAAACACATTTTCGTACAATAATTCATTTAGATATGGATTGCTATTATGCGCAAGTGGAGATGATTAAAAATCCGCTTCTTAGAACTGTTCCATTGGGCGTGCAGCAAAAAAATATTGTTGTAACTAGTAATTACATTGCACGAGAGTATGGTGTAACAAAATGTATGCCAGTGGTTGACGCTAAAAAATTATGTCCAAATCTAACATTAGTATGCGGAGAAGATTTGCAAGATTATCGTAAGATGTCTAATAAGGTTACAGCAATTTTACAAAAATTTACTAGTCAAGTCGAAAGGTTGGGTTTAGATGAGAACTTTCTTGATGTTACTGAACTTGTCAATGAACGAATCCAAAAAAGTAGCGAATCTGATTTCATAGAAGGTTTTATTTATTCCGGTAGTGGAGAATTGGAGAAATGCATTTGTGGATGTCATAATCGTCTTAGAGTTGGTGCATTTCTAGCCAATGAAATTAGAAATTCAATAAAAAAAGAGCTTGGACTTACGTGTTGTGCTGGTATATCTCATAATAAGTTACTGTCAAAATTAGTTGGATCAAAAAACAAACCTAATATGCAAACAGTTTTAAGTCCGTGCAGTGTAGGGGATTTATTGTCTTCATTAGATAGTTTGCAATCGATTCCAGGAATTGGTGTACGTACTGCTGAAATTTTGAGAGGTATAAATATTACAACAGTTTCTGATTTACAAAATTGTAAATTTAATATTATAGAAAATGTTCTTGGTGTAGAAAATTCAAAAAGATTAAAAGCCTTATGTTTTGGTAAAGACGATTCACCCGTTGCTGTAACTAGAAAACCTCATTCAATTGGTTTGGAAGATAGCTGTGAGGCACTCAGTGTGAAAAGTCAAGTGGAAGAAAAATTACATGTACTTTTGAAACGATTATTAGAACTTCAAAATGAAGATGGTAGAATGCCTCTTGCTATAAAATTAATATTAAGGAAAAAAGACAATAAAAATAACTTCATTAGAGAAACCAAACAATGCAGTTTGCCATCATCATTATTTGCGCAGTCTGAAAATAATCTAAGCACGAGGCCAGGAGGCTATGAAAAAATCTTATTTTCAGTTATGCGACTGTTTAACCGCCTTGTAGATATTACCAAACCTTTTCATATAACTCTTGTTGGTCTTGCCTTCATAAAGTTTCAAGAACGAAAAACTGGTCACTATTCTATAGCTTCATATCTAATGAAAAATATATCAGTCCAATCAATAACCAGTTTTAAGAATGTACTAGGAGAATCACCACCATCACCTATGGATCTTTCTAAAAATGAAACTGATATTAGTACTGATAATTCTGATACAGATACAGAGCCATCCCCAAAAAAAGCGAAGGTTGGCCTTCTTATGGCAAAACGAAGTTGTATTCATTTTGGTGAAGTATCCTCTCCGTCTAAATTAAATGTGTCAAGGCTTAGATTGAATTCCATAGATAAAGATTCAGCTTCAGAACACTGTACGGAAATCGCACTGGAATCTTGCTCTAACGATATTAGAAACATCTCTTGTTGGAAGAAATCTATTGTATCTAAACGAAATAATAGCATAGGTGCAATCATAATTACAAATAAATAAACACTTTTTTTCTATGAATCAATTAAAATATGATTTTTATTCAATATTATGTTGATTTTCATAACATATGGTTTTGGTCATTGGAAATACCTGGCTTATAATGTAACGTTCTTGCAATGTTTTTGTGATGTTTTTATTTATAGTATTTTTGTATTTGAAATTGTAAATGCATTAGTATCATTTTGATATTATTTTTTGAAACAATTATTCTTTTTAAGTCACTTCATTAAAATAAGTACAAAAATATTTATATTAAATATATTTTATATATTCTAAATAGTGTTGTTTTTTTAGACTTTCAAAACAATATAGTTTTGTATGCAAAATTGATAATGAAGTTTTCTTAAAAGTTATCCATCCTCCAATCGATAGCACAAGATATAATAGTGTTGTTTTTTTAGACTTTCAAAACAATATAGTTTTGTACCCAAAATTGATAATGAAGTTTTCTTAAAAGTTATCCATCCTCGATAGCTCAAGATATAATAGTGGTGCACTAAATAATGGGAAGCAGGTATGTACATACACATTAATTTTAATTTGACATATATTTATTATTCATACATAACAAATGATATTATAATTACATATATAACAAATAAAAAATAAAACTTAACAATTTCTCAACATATTTAACAATATTATGGATGTTTAAGGACGTATATTTCCAAATTGTATATGGAATTTTTGCACAAGATACTCTACATTCAGTATCATAATTTCATGTTGATGTTGTAAAAATACTTAGATACTTATAAATATTACTTTAAAATTTATTCCCATTTGAAGAAGCATCTTAGCAACAATTAAATAGTTTCTTTCCACATTTAGTATATAAGTTAAAGGAAATATATAAAATATGTAATTATATATATATATATATATATATATATATATATATATATATATATATATATATGAAAGATGCTAGTATATTTTTAGGAAGATATGCAAAATTGGCAACATATCATTTCATTATCAAATACATGCATCAAAACATTTGTCATAGAAAACGTTTAATTTGAATAAACATTAAAACAGCATGTTAGAATATAATCTTTCAGATATTCTATGAATCGTAAAAAATCACATGTATTATTATTATTTATTGTGCTTGCTGATCATGTGTGTAATAATTCATTGCTTTTCATTGACTATGACGAGGAAGCACAATTTATAAAACAACAACCATAAAATTTCTATTTTATTACAATATTCAATAACAATATGCTAATTTACTTATGTTATTATACCACTTCTACTGCTTGTATATTATAAAAAGCGATTTTTTATTTGTCTTAGTTACATATTATAATAGATATAGTTTTATTGACTGGCAAGTAACTAATAAATGAGGGCCCATATGAAAAATGATCTTAAACGTCAATATAAAAACTAATTTTCATAACTTTTTTTTGATAAGTATCATAGTCCCTAGATATTTCAATAAAAAAAATCAGGGTACCACGCAATGTTAAAAGCAATGCTACTTTAACAGTCGAATTCAATGATTATAGTGATGTAGATGCGATTATAGTGATATATACACCGAATTTAGATTCCTTCATTTGTATCATATGAGCAGACATAGAGCATGATAAAATTATCAATACGAACAATAAGCACAAATCCATATATATAAAAGCTCATATTGATGATACATCAAACATGATAATCATTAGGCTTATTCGGTATTCGGTTACTAATCGGTATTCGGCATATTCGGCACCTTTTTTAATATTCGGCCGAATATTAAATAGTAATTCACTATTCGGCCGAATACGGGATAATTAATATCAATGACGCCGCCGCTCAGCGACAGCATTGTTTGTGTTTTATCTTTTATGCGATAAATTGCATAAAAGATGCAATGTGTTATATCAATACAGTAAAGTCATTCATTATATTTAATCTAAGCATTTCCAAATAAAGAATTATTATTGGTTCTCTATCGCAAAATATACAAACAATATTTTTGATCATTTTTATTTATTTTATTATGATTAGCATTCCTAATATATAAGAATATAATATTGAGTTTATAAAAAAAGATATTATATATTTATAAAAGAAATAATTGGAAACACATTTACATATATGTAAAAAGTCGCTTTTTTATTAATTTACGATTTATTTCCCTATCGCATGTGGTATTCAAATATTCGTTATTCAGCCGAATAATATGAATGGTGCTAAATATTCCAAATAACATAGAGTATCGGAATAGTGGTTGCAAGTCTAGGCATAAAACTTGAACAAACATATAGCGCGCTAGTAATATAACAATTACTGATAGTAATTACAATAATACAAGCAAGTTAAGGCGGCAAAAACCAGCCGAATAGTTGCCGAATGTTCGGTATTCGGTCTTTGGAGCATGCCGAATATTCGGTATTCGGCATTTTGCCAAATATACCATTCACAAGCCTAATAATCATTGAGCTTCATTAAGATTATTATAGCTCTATTTTCCTTGTAAATTAAAAAATAAATAAAGATGAAGCCATTCACTCTACAAAACTGCACTACACCCGGAAGTATATTTTACATGAGTTTAAACGTATACTAATATATTTGCAATAACAAAAAGAAATTATATTTTTTTTATTTATTTCACTATTGTAATTCATTTTACTTATTGCGCATTTAAAATCATTTTAAAAAATAAGAAAAAGAAGGAATAAGCACATTGCGAACTAATGAATACACTTGTAGCAAACAGAATGAAACAATAAAAATACATTAAATGTAAACTCATGTTCAAGTCGACAGCGGTACTAGGATCGAATCCCGGTCGAGACTTGAAAAATTATGCTTAAAGAATAAAGATGGTAAATAAAAGATGGTAATCTAATATAATTATAAGTATAAGCATTTGTTGTGTTTAAAAGAATGATCAGAAATTTAAAATAAGGAAAAATGGAATGGAAAAATATTGTCAGCTTTTGTCCGATTTATATAAGTTGCCAATTAGAATTAATATTAAATATTGAAATCCTTTCTAACAATTTAGTACTTGACATCGTTTTTAGAAAAAAAATACAACATGTATAATCGGTAATGTTTTTGTTAATAGTAATATAAGTTATATAGTCATAATATAAGTCAACTTATATCGTTACACCACTAATCATCAGACATATTTTAATACTATGTGTGGACGGTTTGATTCAGAAACCACAATTATGCCTTTTTATATTTGATTTAGATAGTTTCAAGAAGGTGGTGAAGAAATAACTACTTACATTGCTTATGGTTTTGAAGAAAAAAAGAAATCGTCTGGACTTTATCGTAAAGAACAATTAACATCGAAATGCTATCGCTAAGCTAGAAGTTTATGATTATAGTATAGATATATAAGTTTTTTTTAGTATTTATGGAATAATTTATATAGTTTTTATGAAAATTTATCACTATATAATCAAAATCAAAATTAAATTCAGAAAACCTTGAAAAATATTCAGTGATAATGAATGTTCGCCCAAAAATGATACCGATAGTTTTATTCCAGTTATTTATTTAGTGAAATATTTAAATAGTTTTGAGTCACTCAATAAAAATACATAAACTCATTCATGCGTTCGACCGTAGGCAAGTAGTTAGAGCGGTGGGATTTGAATCACTGGTCCCAGATTCGATGCCCGCTTCGAGCTGGCCGATGTCAAGCAGTAGTGACATCGGTTTCCACTACGAAATATTGATAGTAATATGCAATATGAAACTAGCACCCGGCGATTGCAATATTAAAATAGAGATGGGACAATGTTTTGGTTGTCATATATATATAAAAAACGTAGAAGTCCAATCGCTGATTAATAAAAATAATAATAATGAAATGCGTTGTATTAAATTTCAACGAATAGTCATAGTAGAGTTGTATTCAGTAGTAAAATTTTAATTTTACAAGATTTTAGTACATATTCAAAGGTAGTCATATGTAATGTTAATTTCACAGATAGTAAATATAAAAATTCAATATTGAAGTTAAATTTACGATAGTTGTCAAAATGTTGCTCATAGTTTATTTGAAACATTAATTCGAAATTTAGCTGGTATATAGATACAGGTATTTCTCTATTGAGAGAACAATATTATTTAAGTAATTTATTGGGTAATTATAGATATAGCAAATTTATTCTCATCTATAACAAAGCTAAAAGAAATAATTCAAATTCATGATCAAACTGCTTAGAAGTGCAAAAATTCAGCTCTTTATAATAATGTACAGAATGAACAATTGCAACATATTCGTTAATGATTTTCTGAAAAGTATCATCAAAATAGTTAAATTTTTATAATCTTTGAAATCAAATAAATTTCGAATAAAAATAAAAGAAAAGATGTCTCGATTTTATTTTATAACTTATTAATTATTACAGTGCTGAATATGAGTCAATTGTTAGTCGAGAGCTTTTATAATAATATAAAATAACAAAAATGGTTGACCTAAATGCAAGTTCATATATAGTTGATCAGTATTTTGCAAAAAATTAGAGCGAACAAACATTGGTGGAAGCAGTCTTTCGATTTCACACTTTTAACCAATTTTGATTATTTTAATTAATGATAACACTACTCTTTTCAAAATCAGCATTTGTATAAACCACAATTTCATGAATTATTATAGATGGACAAATTTATAGCTTATTTTTTATTCTATTAGTCTGTTTTCTTTAAACAGTCGTTAGTTTCTATCATCGCGCAGATGATAGATTTTAAAGTCTTCAAAATAACTAATTGTATTGTTAAAATTGTAAATTGTAAAAATTCTACTTCTAAAAAATACGATTTTCAAAACATTCTTATATTCTTAAATCTCAGTTTCTTCATATCGTCATGACTAGTTATTTAACATAAAAACATTTTTATTTATATTAAGAGAAATAATTATTCAAGTCTAAAAATTTATGTATAATTAATAGTATCATGGTCTGATAAATTCCACGAAGGAAGTTGTAAGAAATATGAAGCCAATTACATAATGATATTCATTATTAATATTGCTCATCACTTACTAATAGGCAAAGGCACGCAAGAAATTTAAAATTCTCTGATCAGCTACACGGAAATTTCCCGCAAATGAGACCACTTACAATAATGGCAATTAAACACACATAGTCGCCCAAACATAAACACTTATTAAATATTCATACACACACCCATCAGGCAAACAAACACCCACCCACCCACCCCACACACACACACATACATATATATATTATATATATATATATATTATATATATACAGGGCCGGTCCTGGGGTACTCAGCGCCCGCATGCAATTTTTTTTCTACCCCCCCCCCTCTATTATTTTAACTTTTTGAACAGTTTATCATTAAAATTATATAAACAATTACATTAATTTTTTAAAATAATTTTTATTAAATCTGGATTTTCTACACAAAAAATGGATCTGAATGCGCATAAAGTACATTGATTTTAAAATTATTCGGAAGATCAAGGCGATTTGCGAGTGCACATAATCAATTTGTAGTTCCTTCTATCGTTATCGCACTAAGGAAGTATTTTTAAATTCTTATTTTCAATCCAAACTTTTTCTGACATCCAAAAATTTCAGTACGTTTATTATTGCTTGCAAGAATATTTCTAAATTTTCATTTATTTCTAACGCATGTGTAATTGTGTATTATTAATATTTGGCTTTTGAAACATTTTACTTATTTATTCTATTGAACAAATCATAGAGAGCAAAAAAATTCTAGCCTCTCATTATCTTAATTTAATTTTTCATTATTTAAAATATCTAAAATTGCATCTTAAACTTCTAATTGCAAGATTCTAAAAGGGCCGAAGTGTATGTGATAACCTATACTTTCCCATCGTGTATCAGATAGTTGTTTTAAAGTTTAAAAAATATTGTCCAAGATTAGAAAAAGATTAAAAAAATATATGTTTCTTGAATGATATTAAAAAAACTATATTATAAATTTCATATCCGAATCTCGTTTTGGCGCCCCCTAAAGCGTGCTCCCGCATTTTTCGCATGCGTTGCATTCAAGGTAGGACCGGCCCTGTATATATATATATATATATATATATATATATATATATATATATATATGCATCTTTGCACATTACACATTAAATTGATGAACAGGAAAAACATGAATTATTCTTTTTTCATATATTAAAAAAAAGTGATAAAAAATTTGATATATTTCTTATTTAAGACTAGATGAAACACAAAACAAAGTTATACAAAAAAACGTAATTTTAATTAAATTAAACGTCTTAATAAAATATCAAGCTATAGTTCTTGTGTAGAACAATAAATATACCATAATTCTAAAAACTCATCTTTTAATATATGAAAAATGGAAGAAAGAATAGATGTTTTTATTGTTCAAAAATTTAATCAAGCAATATTATCATTAACAACAAAGAAGTATATATATATATATATATACAGGGCCGGATTTAGAAATTTGGCGCCCCGGGGCACTGACAAAAATGCCGCCCCATCACTGAAATTTTACAAATTTTTGAATTTTTTTTAAAGCAATCGCGCTATTTCATCAGCGTAGAGACAAAATATAGAAGCGCGTAAGCGCCGCGTCGCAGTCTAACGGATGAACAATGTTACAGAACGCATATAAATGTAAACAAAATTTGTTCTTATTATTTTAATATCTTTAAAATATCTGATAAATTAATGTCCATGTCTCATGATCACTTTTGTCCGCCAAATGTTTCCTTTTCAAATTTTTTTATTGGATCATCGAAACCGCTAAACCTCCCTCCACAAACTTAAGAAGTTATTTATTCTGTAAATTTTTTGAATGATATTGGACACTTTTTTTCTTAAAAACTGAATTATCAATTCTGGCATTTTGACCCGTATCTTCGAAACAGTTGGACCTGCCTTGGCCAATAACTAATCAACACGTCTCCCTTATCAATAGGAATTGAATCATTTAAATCGGTTGATTCATGTTTTCAAAATCGACTTGAATAATTAAAAAATATTAGATTTGCATTGATGGGGAGACAGCTACGCAGCTTTTGGTACAGCTACGCAGCGCGATTGCTTTGCAAAAAGTTCATAATTTTCGAAAAATTTCAAAATACAAAAAATGTGTTTTAAAAGTTTTTTTTTTTCATTTTTCAAAAAATTTTAATGCTCGTTAAAAAATGTAATTTTCAGTACAGGATGTTTCAGTAATTTGTCAGTCATTTTTTCGACCTTATAAGATTGGAAGTGCACAAATTCGTCATCTTAATAGGGCTTGAAAACTGAAGAACATATTTTGCTTAAACTTTCAGCTTGTTTACGGATCTTATTATTAGCCAAATGGCCAAATTTAATAACTTATTAATCAATTTGATTTTTACGTTCGGAAAGGGAGGCAAGGCAATATAATAAATTTCAGTTATCGGTTATTTCAATCCAAATTTTGCATTGCAATCGTATTATGTTTTGTTAATTATATTTCTTGAAATAAAAAAGTTGAATTATAGAAGAAAAGAAAAGTTGATTATATTGTATACAATTTTTTTCTTACTATCCAAATTTTGCCGCCCCCCAAAAATTGCCGCCCTGGGCAGTAGCCCCGATTGCCCCTACTGTAAATCCAGCACTGTATATATATATATATATATATATATATATATATATATAAACATTTATTCCTAGTGTTTAATACCCATTGCCTGAAAACGAGCATAGGAAACTCTAGGCGCAGGCAATAATAAAATATTTTATAAATAAACTATCTTATCACTTAATGACTTCTATATAAATAAATAACCATAACAATAACAAAACAATTCTAAATTTAAAAAATAGTCTAGTTGTAAGCCCTAGAATACTAGATTATTTCAAACTGTAGGCCAACTCTTATAATAATTATAATATATATATATATATATATATATATATATATATCTATATATATATATATGCAATAGTGCTAAGAATATAAAATTTTCTAAGATGTTTCATTCAGTTAACATGCATGTACTTAACATATGATGCAATCCATATTGCAATTGTAATTTTCTAATGTCTCATTACTTCATTTCCTTAGAGACGTCATTTTCAATAATGCAGTCCATAATTGATAGTTTTTTTTTTAATAGCTGAAATTTGAATTTATTATGAAAGGATTTTAATTGTGGAATAAATCTTTTTCTATCTCGCTTTCAGACAGTGGACGTTTTTCACCGAATTTCTTTAAAATTTTTTTTGAGCTCACGGAAAATCTCAAAAAAAAACAATTGTATGTAAAAATACAATTACGGGTCTAGTTGCTTCACATATTTGAACTTATGATGCGAATGAACATACCTGTTTAGAAACCTTCAATAATATCGTACACTTCCAAACTGGACATGATTAGATAAAAGACCCATAATCCGAACATGAAGGAAGCCGTAATGTACTTGATGACTTTGGGCCCACCGAGCTCTCCTCCAACGGCTTTGCTCCCGCCTTAGTACCAGAATAAAAATGGCCATCATCGCTTCAGTGCAGAATAAAGTTACAGAGAACGCCAAACTAGAACAAATTTAGGTAATCAACAATTCATATTTATTACTATTTCGATTATTATATCAGGAGATCTTCCGTCCGAGAGTCCAGGTTTCGATCACGTGCAGCATGACGCCAAGCAGTATTGGCATTAATTTTCTCATGGAATTTATACTTCCAATAGCAATATGTTTCCAAGTGAAATTAGCTCTTCGGGGTATATGATCCAGACTATAAAGGCGACCGCGTATTTGTTGATTATTTTTGGCAATACACCACCATAATTTAATATTTATTAACTTCCCGATGGAGAAGTTAAAGTTTTCATAAAAAAATCCGATTCGTTAATTTTATATTTTCTCGACTTATTTTGTGCGACGATCGACCAAGCCTAATTTTTTTCGACGATTTTCATTATTATTTTTTGAAGGTAGATACCATAGTCTTATAGATCATACTGAAATATTACAAACCTACGAGAACTCGTTTAACTCTAAAAATTCGTCAAAGTTCGCAAAAATTAGTATCGTTTTTCGGCATTTGTCAAAATTAGACTTTTCATCGACGTTTGTTCAAAAACTCCTGAACCGATTTCAGAAGTTTAAAAGCCATTTGATGTATCTCAATGAGAATTATCGTTTCTCAGTTTTGTGCGACGATCGGCTGACCATTTCTTTATAATTTGGAAAAAAGTTTTAAACTTTTCGCCCACATTCAAGCTCCAAATCGATTTTAAAATATCCAAAACTGTTCGTAAGATATTAGTTGGGAGTGATACTGATTAGTTTTAGGTGAAAATCTACCGAGCCATTTTCTTGTAATTGACTGGTAAAAAAAAATTTAAGCCGATTTTATGGAACTTTTATTGGCGATATATATCATGGTCTTATAGAACTTACTGAAATATTACGGCCTTACGATAAGCAGTTTAATTTTGAATTAATCAAAGTTTGAGAAAATTAGTAGTTTTTTTGACGTTTGTCAAAATTAAAATTAGACGATTTACTTGGTATACCGATAGAGTACCTGGCCTTAATAAACATACTAAAGCATTATAGTCCAACAGAAACTGGTTCAATTATAAAAAAATATGATTTTTGGAAATTTGCTCTCAGAAAATACAACGTGTTCGATTTTCAATAATGTGTAATAAATACTCTTCAAATACTTTTAACCACTCATAAATTAATTTATTTATGATGGATTAAGTCAATTATTTACACATATTGGGAAGTTCATGTAACTTGCCTTAAGGCAAAATACCAATACCAACTAGTTTGAATATCGAAACGTTCCAATAAATAAATCTCAAATAAGAAAAATATACACTATCAGCTATTTAACCGGAAGTTCCAAGACGACCGTTAGACATCATTAGTTTTAAATAAATGAGAAGAATTCGTTCCCTTATGTTACTAAAAACTGTCAACTTTGTTATAGATTTTTGTATTGCTTGCAGCTTGTGATATATAAAAAATGATATAAAGAAAATAAACTTACTTTCCGGGATTGACTTGGAATGCTTGTCCCTTGCAGGCGTGGTAAACAGCCGCTATGCTCCATGCAATCCCTATACCTAAAAATACGTTTACGGCATTGCTGCCAGTCACATTTCCGACACTTGCATCAGCATATTTATCTTGAATTGCAGCTACTTTACTCGCAAAAGTATCTGAAACAATTATACATTAATTACGAATATCTTATACTTTATTTTAATGAAAGCAGTTAATAATAAATTATACCTGGTATACTGGTTCCTAAAGCGACAAATACAATAGCTGTTACACTGTCTTGTATGCCAAGGGTGCAACCAAAATGTGAAGCTACATCTCCTATTACAGCTGTAACGACTCCTATAGCGAGGATTGAAACTACAAAACATACATATCCACCAGCAATATCTGCAAAAAATACGGTATATATCAGTATTATTCAGAACTCATTCTGAAGAAAATAGTTTGCTTAAAATACAAAAACATAGCTTATGAAAGTGCAATTAAATGATCTGTTATTTAAAGTAGTCATTGCTCTTATAGCTTCTGATCATATGAGCAACCATTAGAAAGCCCAATACAAAGTTCGATTAATATTGCAATATTTTATCAAATTTGTACTTCGCAAATCAACTTATAAAATTTCAATTAAAATTGTCTCACCCGTAGGGGGAACAAAGGCAAAAAGTAGCTTCCAGAAAAGTGTTATGTAGTGCATGATATAATCTCCACACGATGGATGCTTCTCGTCGTCTTCATCACCTTCTCCATCGTCATCGCCTTCATCGCCTAGGATAAGATGAAAAAAAGTTGCATTTATTTAGTATCAATTATAAATGTGTATAAAAGTTTGATTTGCTATTCATTTAACAAATGTAGCGGCTAAGTTTATCTGATGACAATTAAGTGCATCTTAAGTGAGAAATCGTATTATGCGGAATAGAATAAATATACATGGTCTGTTCAAAAAGTTTTCGGAATTTTCGTTTTTTCAAAAAAATATTTATTTATTCGTCTACATTAATGTGGTCCCCTTCAAAGTAGTCCCCCCCAGATATAATACACTTATGCCAGCGTTTTTTCCAATTTTCGAAGCACCCTTGATATTCACTTTTTGATATGTCCTTGAGCACTCTCAGCGATTTTCTTCAATCGAGGAAAACCGCCGTCCTTTCATGGGTCTCTTCAACTTTGGGAATAGGAAAAAGTCACACGGAGCCATATCTGGTGAATTTTTGCACTTTGCAACACTTTATTTCATTTTTTACGCAAAATTTAATACAAATTCTTTGACTTTTCAATTCTTCCATTGTAAAAATCGCCGAGCTCAGAAAAACACGTCGAACCTTAGCGACTACCACAGACAAAGTAAACAGTGAATATAGCTGAAAATTTCATCATACTTTAGGGGCATGTATACCAACACAATAAAAAAAAAATTTTGACAATCAGACACTCCAGACCCGCGAAATTTAATTATTAGTAATTCCGGGTACTTTTTGAACAGACCTCGTAACTATATATATATATATATATATATATATATATATATATATATATATATAAATATATCAATGACCGACCAAAAATGAACGGATTTCCAAGAATTGTGAATAATGAATTGCATCATCAAAAGTTTGTGTATTGCTAAATGTTTACAATATATTAAAGTTTATTTGTGAAAAATGACGTCATCCAAATGACGTCCGTTATTTCCATACACTTACTGTCATTTCAGGCGGTATCTTTGCAATTTCTGCTCTGATTCCTTCTTTCAAGGCATAGATGGTTTGAGAAAGTCATTTAATAAAAGTTGAAGAATACACGACTCGATTTGTTTTTGCGACGATTAACGATACTAAACGACTCACCGACTCATATACATACATATATTAATTTTTCAATTTTGGTCTCAAAAGATTCAGAATGATTTCAAACACCAAGAAACCAAAATTAGCAGATGGGATTTTTTGACAACAAAATTTATACTTATTGTTAAAATCTCTATAAAATATTTGATAATTTGATGTCGCATATGTCATTTTTGACCGCCAAATGGCATTTTTTTTTACTTTTTAACTTCCCGTAGGGTAAGTTATAGTAATCGCAAAAAAATCGAAAATGAAAATTTTTATATATCTTTACGTTTCAGAGGTTTCTGAACATTTTGGCATACCTTAGAAAAAATGGATGTATGTGTGTGTGTGTGTGTGTGTGTGTGTGTGTGTGCGTGTGTGTATGTATGTGCGGATACAAATTTTCGTCGACGATTTCGGGAACACGGATCAACCGATTTGAATAATTCAAAAAACATTTGATTTGTATTGATAAGGAGACGTGCTGATTAGTTTTTGGCGAAAGCAGGTCTAGCCGTTCCGGAGATACGGGGCAAAAAGTGCCGAAAACGGTAACTCAGTTTTTAAGAGAACGGAGCGTCCGATTTTAATAATTCAAAAAACATTCTACTTGTATTGACAAGATAAAGAATTGATCAAATTTTCATAAAGGCAGGTCTAGCGGTTTCGGAGATCTAACAAAAAAAGTAAAAAAAAATGCCATTTGGCGGTCAAAAATGATCATTAGACATATGCACATCAAATTTTTAGATATTTTATAGAGATTTTAACAATAAGTATGATTTTGTTATTTTCCTATGGGTTCCGTATCAATGTTTACCCGTTAGACAGCGACGCCGCGCTTACGCGCTTTATATTTTGTCTCTATGCAGTTAAAGCAATACGATTGCTTTGAAAAACAAGTTCAGATCTTCCAAAATATGTCAAAATAAAAAAAAACATTTTTTTTTAAAAAAAAATTTTTTAAAAAAATTTTTTTTTAAAAAAAATTTAAAAAAAAAATTTATTTTTTTCAAAAGAAAGTAACTTTTTGTCCAATTTATAGTTTCTCAAAAATCTTATTTTTTCGAAGTAATTTTTTTCAAAATGTTAATCGTTTTTAAAAAAAATAATAATTTTTGGTACGGGAAGTTCCAGCAATTTGCCTTAAAGCACGATGCCCTAATTGCCTTAAGACAGAATTCCACTTACAGCTAGTTTCATTAGATCTCTAAAACCGCTAGCTAGACCTGCCTTCATGAAAATTTGATCAATTCTTCATCTTGTCAATACAAGTAAAATGTTTTTTCGATTATTAAAATCGGACGCTCCGTTCTCTTAAAAACTGAGTTACCATTTTGGGCACTTTTTGCCCCGTGTCTTCGGAACGGATAGACCTGCCTTCGCCAAAAACTAATCAGCACGTCTCCTTATCAATACGAATCGAATGTTTTTTGAATTATTCAAATCGGTGATTCGTGTTCCCGAAATCGTCGACGAAAATTTGTATCCGCACATACATACATACATACACACACACACACACACATACATCCATTTTTTCTAAGGTATGCCAAAATGTTCAGAAACCTCTAAAACGTAAAGATATATAAAAATTTTCATTTTCGATTTTTTTGCGATTACTATAACTTACCCTACGGGAAGTTGTTAAAATAGCATATTACACTATATTACTTTAGAAGTGAATAAATCAGCAGACAAAACCATCTTTTTCTTTCGACCTTTAATTGTTTTCAAATATTTCAATAGTCAATTCCTAACGACGACGCGCGACTCAAGTGGTTTTATGGCCTGGGATAATGAATTCAGATAAAAGAGTTCCGCTCGGCCATGGGTAGTTTTGCAATAAAATGCAAGGTAAACCTATACTAGCCGCCCAGAGCAATAAAGCACTTGAGCGCAGAAATCATGAAAACGTACTCTTAATAGGCCCTTGGAAACACATTCAAACTTTTCCGTGCAAACCTTGGAAACAGTGAAAGCATTATGTTACAATTTATTAAAAGCTTGTAATTCCACCGCTACACGAATGCCAGTTAGTTCTAACGAGATTTTTTAATAACAGTAATTTTTGTAAAAGCAAAATAAAAATCAAATTAAATAAAAAATGTTACCTAGTTCAGAGGTAAAAAGCGATTTTATATAATAAAACTTCAAACGATATGTATAATATAACAGTGCTAACAACGCAAACGTATTGATATTATATTTCGATACAGATTTTCGTTAAATAAATATATCGTCAGTCGTAATATTTTATATAAATTGAGAGCTAATAAAACTATAAAAAGTATTAAAAGAATGAATTACTTGGTTTAATAATTACTTCTCACTAGAGTTTACCTGCACTAACGGTTAAAGCTTCTGTAAACTGTTCTCTCCAGGAAGAACTGCCAATAAGTATTGAAGCATTTGCTCTCTGTACTAATTTATCCACAGTATTCTGTAAAAAATAAAATCATTAAATTATGCACACAACACACATATTGTACTTCAAAATCGAATCAAAAGTACTGTCTTTATAATAACTAATGGGATGCATGGCATTGTGCCTAAGGCAAATTGCTAGAACTTTCCGTACCGCAATTAAAAATCTTGGTACGGAACCCAAAAAATTACAAAAAATGTGTACACATTATTAAATCTCTCTATAAAATATCTGATAATTTGATGTACACATGTCTAATAAACATTTTTGACCGACAAATGACATTTTTTAACTTATTTTTATTGAGAGTCCATAACCGCTGGACCTGCCTTCTCAAAAATTTAATCAATTCTTCATCTTGTCAATGCAAGTAAAAATGTTTTCCGAATTATTAAAATCGGACGCTCCGTTCTCTTAAAAACTGAGTTACCGTTTCTGGCACTTTTTGCCCCGTATCTTCGGAACGGGTAGATCTGCCTTCGCCAAAAACAGCGATCAGCACGCCTCCTTTTCAATACAAATCAAATGTTTTTGGATTATTCAAATCGGTTGATCGGTGTTCCCAAAATCTTGGACGAAAATTTGTATCTGCACACGCACACACACACACATACATCCATTTTTTTAAGGTACGCCAAAATATTCAGAAACTTTGAAAGTAAAGATATATAAAAATTTTCATTTTCGTTTTTTTGCGATCACCTTAACTTACCCTACAGGAAGTCTTTTCGACTTCTCAACTACGATGATAGAGATCACGTTTTTTAAAACATAATATAATATGACCTCACGACAAGTCGTTTATTTAAAAACATTGATCAAAGTTTGGAAAAATTAGAAGCACTAATTCATTAGAGAAAAATAATTAATAAAAAGTTCTTATATTAGCGAAATGATCGGCCGAGCCATTTCTTCAGAATTAGCAGAAAAGCAAAATATTTTGTCCACATTTTCCCAAAACATCCTGAGTCGATTTTCAAAATTTAATGAGTGGCATTTTGTCTCTGGGTAAATTGCATAAACTTCTCGATGTTCCCGTCGAATGGGATATCAAAGCTGCAATAGACTATTAACTCATCCTCCCAACATTGTGGTGACGCAACAACTTTATAGCTCTATATTACAGGGTATGCTGTCAATGTCAACATATGTAAATCGATTAGTTAGTTTTTTTATGATACCTTGAACTCTTTGCTCTCTTTGATTCGAAGTTGTGCACGTACAATATCACCCTGTTTCGGTCTACCCATTAGAGTTATTTTATCTTCCTCCGTGAGGTCCTCAGGCGCCTTGGCTTCAGCTGCAGCTATTGCATTGGCAGCTTCATCTATTTAATTAATATAGAAGATTAAAATTGGCACATGTAGAAATATCATATGATAGTCTTTATTTTATCTTATGCACCAAATTGAGCGAATTTGCTTGTTAAAACTGGGATATGATACACAACACGTCAAACTGATTTCATTAACATAGACCGTATAAAAATTTCCAACGGGTTTATTTATTGCTTTTACTAGATATTTGAAAACAAACTTAGATCATGAAGTCAATTTTGTGTTAGGCCCATCCAGTAAACATTTGTGCATACACGATCCTTGAATTTTTTTTTGTAGTACTACTTTTATAAAATTATCGTGCGCTCGCTTTTCGGACGATGATGGACATGTTGATAAAAACAGAATACTTTTTAAACAGGCAGATAATAAAAATAGAAAAAAAATTAAAATTATGTTTCTGAAAATTATTTTTTCATCAATTTCCAATTTCGGGTTTCCATTTGACTTTTCTTCAGTGACAGTGATATAACAAATAATATAAACAATATTAAATTTCTCATAAAATAAGGTAAAACCAGCGTTGAGAAAAAATTACACAAACAAAAAACATTTTATGTGTAAAGCTGACAACATAAATAATATTGACCACATAAAGATGAAATGAAATAATGAAATATAAATTGTTGTGAAAACTTAGTTACTGATAACTCTAACATATTTTCTATTTAATTTATGATGAACAATGTGTTGTGATATGCAGAAATAAATTTCTACTCACAATGAGTCACAGCACTATGATAGAAACAAACGATTTTAATTATATACAGCTGTCTCAAAAGCTCAAAACACTTGAGATATTTAAATAAAATGTATCTAATGGGTTAACAGAACGCCAGATTTATATAATAAATTTAATATACAGGGTGGCTGATATGTATTGCAACCAATTTCAGACCGCTATCATTTCTAAACCGCTCATCAGACAGATGACAGATTTATTCCAGTGATTGTTTATTTAATTGTTTACAAGCGTACAAAAGCATTTTGTTCTATTGCATTCAGAAAAAAAGTTATTCGTGATGGAAGTCAAGCGTGATAGTGCGATTGCTTCATACTTGGCTGAAAAACCTTAGGTGGCTATATTTCGAGCCCTCCAGTATTTAAATGCGAACAAATATTTTTTTTCTCGTACCATATCTCGTAACCGTGATACACTCAGTGTTGCACCGCGTCCAAAAAGTGGACGAAAAAAAACACTAACAACCCCAGAAATGATCCAAAAAGTATAGGCAAAAATCAATCGAAATTCGTGTCGCAGTGGTAAAAAAATGGCCCGTGAGCTGAACATATCGCAAAAACGGATGCAACACATATTGAAAAATGAGCTTGAACTAAAACCATTGAAGATCCAAAAAGTGCAAGAGCTCATTGATGCACAAAAAAAAGTTAGACGGAAAGAAGCGAAGGTGTTGCTTCGCTTGCACGAAAGTGGCTAGTTACCGAATTTGGTTTTCTCAGATGGGAAGTCCTTCCAAATCGAGCAGTTTGTGAACAAACAAAATGATAGGGTTTACTTGCCAAAAAGGTCAGCTAAAAATTTACACCTTCGATTGGCCACCAGAACTCGAGCGCCGCCGACGGTAATGGTGTGAACCACCGTAACGGCCGATGGTGACATTCCACTCTTATTCATCGACCGTGGGATCAAAATAATTGCCGAAATTATCGGGAAAATGTCTTAAAGGCAGTATTGAAGTCCTGGGTAGACAAAAATTTTGATCGCAGACCATGGTCATTCCAACAGGACTCAGCACCATCAAACTCAGCACGCGTCTACCAAAAATGGCTTATAAAAGAGGTTTTTCGCTTCATTTCCATCGCATAATAGCCACCAAAATCTCTGGATCTAAATTTGCTGGACTTTTGTGTCTTGGACATTTTGAAGAGTAAGGTTCGTACTAAAAAATACCAAAGTGTCGATCATACCAAGAAGGCGCCTCGCCGGGAATAGGCCAAAATACCCCAGAGCCACTTTCGTGCAGCGTGTTATGGTTTTTCTTCCGTTTGAAGGCCATAATTCGTGCCAAAAGTGGCCAATTGGAACAAATATGAACTAATTCTAAAATTTGATGTTATTTCTGACTTTTTTGCTTTTGAACAATGAAATTTAAAATGAAAATGACAAAGTTATAGCGCTTTACTTTGTTGCAATACATATCAGCCACCCTGTATTATCATATTATTGACAATATAAAAAATAGCTCTGACATAGAACATTTTTTGATTTGATAAGTAGCCTACAAGGAGGCTGAAAGAAGTTCGAGAGGTAATAAATACTGCCAAGAGCTTGGATATGGGAATTAAATATTCTTGAGACTCATAATTTAACAAATAGTGGTTCAAAGTAAAAGATTTTTGTTGCAGAATGTGAATCTTACTATGACTAGCAATAGATATGTAAAGTAACAGCTTGGCAATGTAACATCAGAAGTGCGAAGTTAAATACCCAGATGAACTGATTTTATCACTGTCGATGAGCGATATTGTCAGTATCTGCACTTGTTTTCCTTGAAAAGAGTCAGTTGAGCCTAATAGTACTAAATCTAGGCCTATCAGGATTATTTCCCTATATAAAATTGGGCTATTCACATGTGATATAATACCCAGAAACCACCGTGTGATTTGAGCGGCGGTAGCAACCTAGAATCCACAAGCGTGCCTTTAACGCTGTGACATCCATGTGAGATGTATGTGGATTTTAGATTGCTACAGCCGCTCGGTGTTCACTGGGTAGCACTTCAAAAAGAGTCATAGGCGTAAAAGAAATTAATTAAGAATTTAATAGATTTACTGTATTGTCAGAGGTACGTCCAGTTTCAAGGGAAATGTTCGATATAAGATTGATATAAAATGTATATATGTTTTAATGTAATTATTCAGAAACTCCAAACAGGCGCCCCTTATGACTTATATTAGCCTTAAAAGTGTTGTCGCATCTTCGCATTTCGTATTTGTAATAAATTAATTAAATTAAATTAGCACTTCGTTAAAGTTCGACAGATTATGTAACCAGTTTATATAAAGATTTTTTCATAAACTTTAAATTAATATTAAGTATGATATGCATCTGCAAATATAAAACAATCGCATAGTGCAAGTTCCAATAAAAATTAATAGATAAATATAGCCATGCAATTGCTTTGTTTAAAAATTAAAAAAAAGCTCCAAATAAAGTATTTGTTAACATTTGTTCTTTTTTTGAATCCAAGAATCCCAATAATATATGACAATATTATCATATTTATAATAATAAAATTTATTTCAAATAAAATATTAATCGTAAGAAAATGTTTTATCCGCAAACAGCCTTAGATAAACATGTAATTAACGTAGTCTGTATTAGTAGTCGGAAAACATCATAAATTTGTAAGTATCAGGGTTGCAAGTATTATGCTTGTTGTAATCCAAGAAGGGGTGTAAGAAAAGAAACATTTTTTGAGTCAAAGTAAACATTTCCAAGAAGTTTTAAATCATCACGAACCCATGCAAAGCCATTGCATCGCACAGTTACACCTTCAAAATTGAAAATAGAATAATTAGTATTTAAGCATCTCTCTCTTTATCTGCACCTGTAATATTTCTGTTTATTATATGGTTAAAATTTTGGCAAACGTTTCAAAATAGTGTAACATAAAGAATTTAATTCAGGTCTTATACAGCAGTTATTTTTTATTTGCATCCGTGAAAAGTAAACATTCCATGGTAGTTAAAGATAAAGTTATAGAAACCAGAAGAAACAAATAACAATTAAATGAATTTTTTTCAAATATTATTTTAGATTATTAAAAAACTTTGTTTTTTGACACAACACTTATGAATATTAGTATACATTTAATTTCAAATATTTTCACAATCTTGGATTTACACGAAGCGAAGAAAGGCAGAAAAGTGGTATTCAAGGTATTGTCCTGAATAACATGAGGAATGCAACAAAAAGGATACAAATTTCCATAGGATATCAAAATTGAATTTCATCAAAACACTTATTAATATATGCGATGTTCTTTGAAGTATCATATACAAATGATAAAATCAATAAAGGCCAATGTTTAACTTATAGCACACGGTAAATAATCTTCATCTCAAACTGTTTGGTCAGAGAGCAGTTGAACAAAATCAAACAAACAAGCTTGTGTTATCGAAATCCAATGCTTAATCTTACAATTTTTGGTGCTGAAGTTGGCCTGAAACCTATCAAACCATCCTAAGGATTCGCCACCGTTGGGCACATTCGTCCCAGCATTTAATAATTGGTCACCTACAATTGTTTGTCTGCGCTCACCTCCGTAAACCTTTGGCTCTCCCAAATGTGCATAGAACAGCACATCTTTTTCATAAGAATCTTCTTCTGTGATGTAGATCGGAATAACCTTCCTGGAAAAAATCCGATAATGGATTAGATTATTTTCACTCACACACAATAATATATACAAGTACACATCAAAAGTTCTAAGAGTGGGAAATAGAAATACACCGCTCTTGCCCTTTTTGGCAACTATAGTCAAGTAATTGTAGTAAGTTCACCTCGGATTTCGTGATACCCAGCTGTAAGTCTATAAATACTTGTATATTGACACCCTAAAGTTGTCGCAAATCCTACATATGGTATTGACACCCTACCATATGTAGGTTTTGAGACAACGTTTAGGGTGTCAATATATAAGTATTTATAGACCCACAGCTGGGTATCTCGAATTCCGAGATTCTTACCTAATTTAAGCTTAAATGACTGGACTACTAAAATTAATTTTATAAACGCTTTGAGAATATGGTTTGACTCATCATCAGTGTAATATGTAGAAAAAATATGGCAGTAAATTCCACCATTGTATTGTTCAGTGTAATATAACTATAACAACGTGACCGCAACACACAGGGAAGTTTGTTCCTATCAATAGATAATTGCGTTAGTCAGAAGAGGAGTTAGAGAATTCTGACCAGCAAATCGGGGTTCTTGACAATAACTTCTCTTTCGTTATTTATGTTTAAAAAATCTAAAATAAATTTTTCCAGTTTGATTTTTCTTCAGATGATGTAACACACAAATTATTAAAAAAACTCAAAAACCCCACAAAATCAACAAATTGATTAACGATCCAATTAAGTAACGCCAACCACCTTATAAATATAACTAGTGGTGTGCATGGCATCGTGCCTTAAAGCAAAATGCTGGAACTTCCCGTACCGTAATTAAAAATCTTGGTACAGAACCCAAAAAAATTTACACAAAATGTGTACACATTATTAAAATATTTGATGATTTGATGTACATATGTTTAATGATCATTTTTGACCGTCAATACGAATATCAAATGCTTTTTGAATTATTCAAATCGGTTGATCGGTGTTCCCGAAATCGTCGACGAAAATTTGTATCCGCACACACACACACACATGTCAATTTTTTCTAAAGTATGCCAAATTATTTAGAAAACTTTGACACGTGAAAATATATAAAAATTTTCATTTTCGATTTTTTTGCGATTACTATAACTTACCCTACGGGAAGTTAATAAGTTGTGTGCAACAAACACAAGTTGTTAAACATAATTTAGATCTTTCTTCTAAGTTTTCCTATATGTTTATACATACATATATATAGAATTTCATGCGTATGTGAATGTATTTGTATAAATCTGTATATTATTTTTTGATGATTTTATAAATATTTTTTTGATGAAGTGTTACATGTAGGTTCAAAAAAATGAAGGGAATATGGCGCTTAGTCAGTATGTGTTTTATAAAGTACTGGACGGTTGGCAGAGTGCCAGCAATGTATATAATATATATATATATATATATATATATATTTATATATATATATATATATATATATATATTTCTATGTCTTCATTTTTCTAGACCAAGAGCTTCCATTATTCAAAAGAGATTTTACACCATTAGTAAAAATGCTGATGATTTCTAGAAAAACTGATATTGACTTCTTGTCTTCAAAAATAAGTACGAATTTTTCATACGGTTGGGAGAGTTTTGCAATTACTTGTATATGTAATTTAATATGAATCAATAAGTTAATATTAATTATCAATTTACTTTAATGAATTCAGAATTTCGCAAATTGATCCAAGATTTCTGAAAAATGTGATAAAAAAAATCTCGGTCAATGATCATGAGACTTGACAACGCAAGCGATAGTTGAAAATCTAAAATTAGACAATCTGATTTTTGGTCAGGAAACAATCTTCTACTGAACTTTAGTTGTCTAAACCATAGAAAATATTTAATTTAATAATCATAAATGATAATCTGTTGGCGCCTCTAAAATCATAGTTGGTTGATGACAAACTCATCCTTTTTGAATTTCATCATCTAATATATATTAGTTTTATTTATTTATAGTAGCACACCTACTTCCTAAACAATCGTTTAATGTCTGATAATCATATTTCGAATAACTTTATGAATATTGAATTTTCTATTGATCGAGTAATGAGCACTGATTGGATATAAGCCAATTTTATAAATAACAATATTAAAATACTCGCTTAGGATACCAATGGATACCAATAAATCATGAAAGTGAAAGCCAAATATACAAATAAAGCATTAATAATTAATTTTACATTCAAATATTAATAAAATACTTTGTCAGTATGCATTCATCATTAAAATATTTTATTAAACTTAATATATTGTTATGCATTATTTAACAATTACTTTGTGACAAACTTCCGAAATTCGGAGTTAGTTTTACAAATAGATTTAGATCCGCGTACAATATTCAATCAAAGGCACTTACAATTATGTGCTCATTATAAATATTTTATTATTTAATTTAAGTACAAAATTACAGATTGTAGAAATGTGGATGCAAGAGCTAAATAATATAGGGCATATATTTTTCAATCTCAATATTATACTTGCTTGAAATAAATTGAATTCGGCCAGGAGATTGCTTACGCAACTGCTCTCCTGCGACTACGCAAGTTATAATTAGAAATCAGTTTTAATTACGATATTTAACGTTTCTTAGGCACCTTCGAGTAATGAGAAGTATGGATCGGAAATAAAACTAGGTGAAAGAGGAGTTTTGCTTCGAGGCAAGTTGCATAAACTTGCAGGCATTATTAAATGATGGACTTATTAAGGAATCAATTTATTAGTAAAACACTATTTCAGGTTATTCAAATGAACATATTTTTTTCCATATACGTGAGTTCGAATCCAGCTCTGGACTACCTGACCAGAAATATATTAAAAAATATAGATGAAAAATATTTTTCCAATTGGATAATAGCCCATTTCATGGAATGCGGTGTGACATGGCAATGTAGAGCATTACTACCCAATATTATTAAAAAATTAAAAAGCGCCTAGTACATACACGTAGAAATTTCTAAAAGCGGGGCCAATTAAATCAAACTTTAATGAATTTTTATAAATAAACCACTTGCTGGAGGCCTCTAATATTTTAATATGCTCATTAAGACTAGGAACTCTATTGCTATACAATTTTCTATAAACACCAAAATCATTAGTAAGTGCATCTTATGAGTGATTCAGATAAGAATATGTCGAGAAGTTATTTTAGAAAACAAAAAAGCAGACAAGAGTTATGTGTGATTGCAGAGTTTCGGTTTTGAGCATACATTTAGACTTTTTTTTTGCTTCCCGTAGGGCAAGTTATAGTAATCGTAAAAAAATAAAAAATGAAAATGTTTATATATCTTTACGTTTCAAAGGTTTCTGAACATTTTGGCATACCTTAGAAAAAATGGATGTATGTGTGTGTGTGTGTGGATACAAATTTTCGTCGACGATTTCGGGAACACCGATCAACCGATTTGAATAATTCAAAGAACATTCGATTCGTATTGATAAGGAGACGTGCTGAGGTGAAGACAGATCTAGCCATTCCAAAGATACGGGGCAAAAAGTGCCAAAAGCGGTAACTCAGTTTTTAAGAGAACGGAGCGTCCGATTATAATAATTAAAAAAACATTTTACTTGTATTGACAAGATAAATTTTTTGGGCTCCGTACCCAGTTTTTTAATTACGGTACGGGAAGTTCCATTAATTTGCCTTAAAGCACGATGCCATACAACACTAGTTTGTAAATCAATATGAAACTGATCATATTATGCTCTCTTGGCAAATCTTATCTCATAATACTTATACAATAAGCCATCCATACGCCTATAATGACCTCTCTTAAATTTTCTTTAAGCAGAATCAAAAAACCAGAATAGAAAATACCAACACTTATAATTTGGCCACCAAAAGAGTGTTTCCGTAAGCTTCATGGCATTAGTGTGCATTTTTAACTTATTAACATTTTCAACATATGAACTCAGAGTAAACTTAGACATTTATATTGCGTGCCAAAATTTATTCTGATTGTTCACAATTTGCTGGTGTCTAGACAAGGTCTCACGTTTTTTATTATATCAACGAGGAATTTTGTTATGACTTACAACAGACATACTTAAGTTATTGTATAATATTTAGGATTGTTTCTCGATTGAAAACTATTCAAATCAAATTATCGCATCAAAAAAAAATATTTAAAAAATATTTTACCAAAAATATTGGAGAGGAGAAATTATAGGGAACTAAAAATGAAGTACATGATAGGAAAGCATAAGCAGAAATTTAGAGAGAGAGGAAAAGAAAATCGATGATACAATCCCACACCCTGGACCTGCCTTCAGGCAGTAAACTAATTATATAATAAATTGACAGACAGACAGATATAGTTGATTTTTAAAATTTTAGTCTTGAAATTCTAAGGTCCGGAAAAACTACGTAAGATAAATCTATTTCTATGTTTTATTGTCCCTAATTTATTGCGAAGAAAAGCACTCAAAACATATCAATAAAAATAATACTTCAACAACAACATTGGTGGTGAAAACTAATAAGACATATTTGATTTAAAAATTTAAAGTGATAAGGTCGACCCATCATACACGAAGGTTCAAATAACAGTCTTTTTCCCAGACGATTCATATAAAAAAAGTGATTCTGACCATGAGATCACCAAATTTCCAGCTACTATTTTTATTGTGGGTCTATTACAAAATCAAAGTATATACTGATAAGCCCAAAGACCATAATAGCTCAACTCATGATACTTTAGCCAAAACGATGGAAAACCTATTATTTTGAACAAAAGTGCTAAATAATGTAGCCATGTAGCAGTTTGAACCATGTGGTGACCGTATTGAGCTACAATAATTGAGCAATTATAATAAAGGTTAAGTGTTAATTTGCTCAAAATTTGTATGTAATGGTTGTGGTAGTGTCCAAGTTAAGATAGAGAAATTAAATACCAGTGGGTATTTTTCTTGACATGTTTGAATTTTGCTTGATCTAATAATTTTTACTCCAAGAACTAGACAAAGCATTATCG